TATTTAGTTTTTAGAATAATTTAGACTCAGGTAAGTCTTTACTTTTATTGATGGTGAGTATTAAATTGATCAATTTTTTTCTAAAGATTTCTACTTAATTATTTTAATGATTTTTTTAATACTTTTGTTTAATAGTAGAGAAAAATATTCTTATATTAAAGAGCAGTAACTTTTATACATTTTCTATTAAATTATTTTAAAGAAAGAAACTACAATAATTTGAATGCTTCAACATTTAAAATATAAGTTCGTTTTAATGAAATAAAAATTCTTTAAAGTCAATTAAAGAAGATTTCCCAAAAATTATTATATTATGCATATGTCTTTTTTGATTTAGAAAAGGATAAACAATAAAACGTAATTATATCTGAGAAAAATATAAATAATATCTATTTTTTTGAAAGCTCAAAATAGATTAATCTAATGAGATGAAAATAATGTAACAAAGGCCACTGGTTGTTCGGAAATAGAAGATTTATGATAAAATTATTTAAATTTACAGTAAAAAGAAGTAGTTATTCATGATTCATAAATTAAAACAATTAAGTTTGAAAAATATTTGTTCTTATTAATCTTTGGGATAATTTAATATATCAGATTGCCTGTTTGAAGTAAAATAATATTATTAAAAATCCTGTTTTTATTTGAGATAATAATAATTTCTAATTTAGAATAATTATTCTGAATTCATTTTGTACTTTCATAAATATAATTTTAATTAATGAATATAACAAAGAATTAATAAAATCCAATACTAAAATCTTAAAATTACATCAGAGAAGCTTTATATTCTCTGATATTTATGGAAACTGGATTTGTAATGGCAGCTGGACTTGAAAAATTTTTGATTTATTCATTAAGAAACGGGTATTTGAAGTTTTTAGGATAAGTTACATAAAATGATATTATTTTTTCATAATGTGAGATTAAATGTTCTAATTAAATCCTTTAAGGTAATATTGATGGAGAAATTAAAATATGGCATCATACAAGTCTTAATCATTCTAAATATATAATGAAGCTTAAAAAACATAATAGTAGAGTTTCAAATATTATAATAAATAGAGAGGAAAATCAAATTTACTCATGTAGTACTGCTTTAATTATCATTTACAAATAACAACAATACAAATATTCAGAGAACATTTTATAAAATGATACAAGCATAAGATGTATTAGTTTGAATGAATCCCTAAACAAATAAATAGCTTGTGGGCTTGATAAATAAATCATTATTTTGCAATAAGATCCTCTGGATTTGAAATGGAAAAAAATGTAAAAAATAGGAATTAAAACAAATGGGGAGAGATTGTGTTTTATTAATGGAAATTAATTTGTATTTTAACAATATTTGTAAAATAAAATGCTTGTATTTGAATTTAATGATGATAATAAATAGTTTTAGAAAAAAAATGAAGTTATTGTAGGTAAGGGAGTTTCTAAATGTGATTTTGGGTTCTAAATGTAATTTTCAAAAGAGAAATAAATAATAATCAATAAAAATACTTCATTTGTAAATATCATAAAGGTAAAGCAAAATAATTAATATATATTGGTATCACAAATAAACTTTGATACTCCTAGCATATTTGGTTCATTGAGTGATGATGGAAGATATCTAATTACATGGGATAAAAACTCAAAATGTATATAATTAAGAGAAATAAATGATTTTATATAATGAACTAAATATATAATATTTTAAAATAATAATTAGATATAATTATATTGAGTTTATCAATATATTAATATCAATATCATAATGAGTAGAAGAAACTGGATTCTTCCACCACTATAAGTTTGGTTGGGAGTAGTCTGAATTTGTACAAAAGATACATTAGAAACTTTAGCTAATGCCCCTGTGTCATCATTTGAATAAAACCAATAAATCTTAAAATTGATAATGTAGAAATATACCTTATATTTTAAATTAGGACTCAAATTAGTAAACCATACTTACTAGGTTTAATTTTAGATGGGGCTTGAATAATTAAAAAAGAGAAGAAAACTCTAATGTAAAGATCTTCCAAGAAAGTTAATTGATTTTCTAATTTAAGCGATTGTTGGAAGTTATGCTGTATCAGTTTGTTCTATTCCTATTCCAACATATCCTTTAGCTTTATATAATGTAAAATTCATAGTTGCATTAATAGATCCTATTTCTGGATTAGTAAAGTTTAAATCAGGTTTTATTGATTGATCTGGTTCAGAATATGTAACATCAAAAATTGTAGGATCTTCTTCTGGATCTATGCTCATTTTATTGGATAGTAAGGAAATGAATGCTTTTTTGTCATTTAAAGCTGTTAATACAACTTAATTTATAGTTTCATCCATTAAAGATAAATCTGGTTAAAAATATATGTAGTAAGAAGTGGAAACTCCTGTTAAAGTGCTAGCAACATCATTAGAGGATAAGGAAAGAATATCAAGAGTTTCTATGTTGCACATTTAACCTTTAGCATCAGTGATTCTATTGTAATCAATAGTAAATATAAAGTTGACTCCACAAATTAATTCTAATTATTATATTGATGTTAAAGGACTAGAAAATGTAATATTTAATTTTATTCCATTTCCCCCATTGAATCTTGTTTACCAATTATAAATAAGAGCTTCACTAGATACACCTACTAAGTCAGCGCAATAAGCTTGAATAGTATAATCTGAGAAAGACTTCAATCCACTAAAATGTTCTTAAGCAATACCATTTATTAATTAGAAGCCATAAATTTTCCATTCTACATCACTAACATTACGTTGAGTTCTTGAATACCCTTANTCTAAATGTGATTTTGGGTTCTAAATGTAATTTTCAAAAGAGAAATAAATAATAATCAATAAAAATACTTCATTTGTAAATATCATAAAGGTAAAGCAAAATAATTAATATATATTGGTATCACAAATAAACTTTGATACTCCTAGCATATTTGGTTCATTGAGTGATGATGGAAGATATCTAATTACATGGGATAAAAACTCAAAATGTATATAATTAAGAGAAATAAATGATTTTATATAATGAACTAAATATATAATATTTTAAAATAATAATTAGATATAATTATATTGAGTTTATCAATATATTAATATCAATATCATAATGAGTAGAAGAAACTGGATTCTTCCACCACTATAAGTTTGGTTGGGAGTAGTCTGAATTTGTACAAAAGATACATTAGAAACTTTAGCTAATGCCCCTGTGTCATCATTTGAATAAAACCAATAAATCTTAAAATTGATAATGTAGAAATATACCTTATATTTTAAATTAGGACTCAAATTAGTAAACCATACTTACTAGGTTTAATTTTAGATGGGGCTTGAATAATTAAAAAAGAGAAGAAAACTCTAATGTAAAGATCTTCCAAGAAAGTTAATTGATTTTCTAATTTAAGCGATTGTTGGAAGTTATGCTGTATCAGTTTGTTCTATTCCTATTCCAACATATCCTTTAGCTTTATATAATGTAAAATTCATAGTTGCATTAATAGATCCTATTTCTGGATTAGTAAAGTTTAAATCAGGTTTTATTGATTGATCTGGTTCAGAATATGTAACATCAAAAATTGTAGGATCTTCTTCTGGATCTATGCTCATTTTATTGGATAGTAAGGAAATGAATGCTTTTTTGTCATTTAAAGCTGTTAATACAACTTAATTTATAGTTTCATCCATTAAAGATAAATCTGGTTAAAAATATATGTAGTAAGAAGTGGAAACTCCTGTTAAAGTGCTAGCAACATCATTAGAGGATAAGGAAAGAATATCAAGAGTTTCTATGTTGCACATTTAACCTTTAGCATCAGTGATTCTATTGTAATCAATAGTAAATATAAAGTTGACTCCACAAATTAATTCTAATTATTATATTGATGTTAAAGGACTAGAAAATGTAATATTTAATTTTATTCCATTTCCCCCATTGAATCTTGTTTACCAATTATAAATAAGAGCTTCACTAGATACACCTACTAAGTCAGCGCAATAAGCTTGAATAGTATAATCTGAGAAAGACTTCAATCCACTAAAATGTTCTTAAGCAATACCATTTATTAATTAGAAGCCATAAATTTTCCATTCTACATCACTAACATTACGTTGAGTTCTTGAATACCCTTAAAATATGGTTTTATTATAAATTTCTTCTAAGGGAATATAAGTGATATCCCCTCCACATCCGATAACCCAAAGGAGTGTTCCAATATTATTGCATTTAAATGCAAATTTGATGTCATTTTTATAGGCTACTGGTTAGGAATCAAATTCTAAGACCGGAAAATCTGAAGGTGAAGCAGTAATTTCAATAATAATATTAGGTGGTGGTTAATAATAAGGGGCACTAACACCTGTTAAAGCAAATGATAATTCAACTTTAGTTTCAATTTCTAAGACTGTATCATTATTATTTACTTACCAAATGAATTCATATTTATCAAAATATAGTTTATATAAACTAGTTCCTGAGTAGATGATATTCTAAGGATTGTTAGAAATGACATTCAAAGCTGAATTATTGTTTATGATTTGTATACGTAAATCTGACATAGGGTAACAATTTTATATGTTAATAATAATTGGTTATGTAGTACCTCCTTAAGGTAGAGTATAAGTGGTTTGCTGAGTACTTAATTAACAAGGGGAATTGATGATATTGGTATAAATGTTAGGTAAAACACTGACATAATTAGATCCACCTGTTAATTTAGAAAATTTATAGACTGAATAACCTACAGTAATGCTAGGATCAGCTCCAACAAGAAATTACGAGTTTTTAGAGCCACTACTAGCTGAAAGTATAGATGGAAACGTTTTTAGTATGTTTCTTTGAAATCCGAAAGTTTCTTTAAAATTTGATTAAGAAATTGGTTGTAATGAAATCAGTGTACGATAAGTACCAATGAAAACATTAATGATTTTGGTGGTTTCATCAATAATATTTAAATTTTCATCTCTTTCATAATTAAATAATCCACCTGACCAGATGACATCTTGTTTATCTTCTTAGATTAATGACAGAGGAGTGGAATAATAAAATGCTGATGTAAATTTTACTTTATAATTTCCACTTTAGATAATATGTACCTTAAGTCTAAAATGATTGATTGGTTCATCAGGGACTTTGGCTTCTGGCAAAGGAATGTTTCCTAATTCAATTGAATACTGTTTGATTAAATTATTAGCACTGTCTTCTGATAAGATCATGCGAACGTATTGTCTACTGATGATTTTACAAGCAGAAGTAAAATTAGTTTTAGTGATGTCATCATCTCTGTTAATTTAACACGTTATTGTAGAAGCTCTACTTAAGGAATCCATATAAAAAGATGGGAATTCTATAAATAAGGTGTTATCATTCATAACTGAACCAGATGGTAATAGCAATGTTAATTTATGAGTTTAAGATGTTCTAATATAATAACTACTTAATGTTGTATCTACTACTTCAATAGGTTATGTTTAGTATTCATCTGATAGTGTATCTGTTAGTATTTCTTGCATATAAACCCCGTTGGTAAAATCATCGTCTTTATCTATACAAATATAAATTGATGGTAATAATGGCCAATGTAATCGATTTGGTTGAGATAGAGTAATTCTTAAAGTAGCTACTTCTTCTGGTTTTATTACCATACACACATCTATAATGTAAATTCCATCCTTTAGAGCACAATAACAAAATGTATTATTTAATTAGCATGAGACAAATGGATTCAATGAAATTCCTTCATGAAATTGCAATTTAATTAGGTAAGTTAACAGTATTTTAAGATCTGCATTTTTAATAGCAAATTCATAAATGGCATCAAATCCAGGACTATTCAAAGTTTTAGATTGTAACAAAATTTATCCTTTTGGAATATATGATATTGTATTCAATTATGAATATCCTATTGGTGTGCTACTTTGAATAGTAGTAATTCCAACAGAATCAATTAATCTCCCGATTAGAGATTCTGCTGAAAATGCATTTGTAGGAGTCTCAAAATTTTTGCATTTCATAGTAAATAAAATATGATGTGGATTTGTAATGTCTTAATTAAATTTGATGATAATATTTGGCATTGTCGAAGTATCAATAGAATAGATCAATTTTGATAATTGTTAGCCTTGGTAAATCTGGCATTTTAACTTATTACTTTCCATATTTTAATCTCTTAGAAATCCTAGAGATAATAAGATATATTATTAGGTAGATGAGAGGTATTCTCTGGCACTCTACAATTTAAAATCGAAGATCAATTTTCCAACACCATTTTGAGTGGGTGTTTCTAATTTTAGATTACCAACATAAAATATTTTACCTAATTAAGTGTTCTACAAATTTAATAAATTATAATTGCATTATTCTTATAATACTGCAGGGGTATCATAAGTATCACCATAAGGTTATGTTTTACCACTCCTAATAGTTGGCACATAAATCTAAACTTTGAATGGCTGATTACTACCAAATGATGGTAATCCATAAGTAGATTAAATCATAAAAGTTAATTAAATGACAGTATTGGCTTGTATTACTTAAGAAACAGAGCTTGTTAAGGAAACAGTGATTATTGTAGCTGTAGATGTATATGTACACACAATATTATTAACTCCTTCAATGGAGCATTAATTAGTTGATGTAACAATATTAACACCACTTATTGCAACTGTAAAAGTGATAACAATTTTTATAGATCCATAATAGATTCCTCCTATTTTAATTGATGAACTGAATCTAATAGGAAACTAGAGTCTTTATTAACCTAAAGAGTTAGTGAATATCTAACTAGTGCTGTCTAATTTACATGTATACAGTTATCTATCAATTACACCTGAATCTTATAGTGCTGCTTGTAGGATTCCTTTAGAGTTTGACAGTGCATATGAAATAAATGAACCAATTTTTGTATATCTACCATATAGTATAACAACTTGATTGCTAATTTGTAAAGGATAATGAATCTGACTATCGAAAGGACAAAATGTAGTATAAATATTGGTATTATACACAAATTATACACATTCTAATTAACCAAAATATGATTGAATAGTAGCTTCATCAAATACATTTACATCAATACTAGTTAAAGTTAAGCCAGCTCCAATTTATTAGTTTTAATTTTATTCTAAATCTACATTAGTTGTAGAGGTTGTTGAAATCTCTAAATCTAAATAAGCTGAAGCATCCTTAAATTTGGTTGCATCAATGTGCATATCAAATACAAATGGTGCTCTCACAAATGGGAATGTTAAATCAGCTGCTTCTACACTAAATTAACTAGCAAGAAACTTTCTGGTTTCTCCTTTGACAGGTAATCCAAATGGTCTATATACTTTGATTGGAATGTGAGTTAATATTCCATCTATTTAGGTTGTTAATGCAATATGAAGAGTATAAGTCAATCCTTGAGGAATTATTGGAATTAAGATTTAATTAGACTTATCACAAACAACTGATTGATGTAACATCCAAGCCTCAGAAGGTCCATTTTAGGCATTAAATTTATGACAATCTGAATATGATGTAAATAACTTAATTTTTGAATCAAAAAAGACTTGAATTTTATCAAAAGACACAGTTAATGAAGGTATTTTAATTCTTAATAAAGTAGGAATAAAAGAACCATCATTTCCTGTTGTTGTACCCATATAATAATTCACAAAACTGACTTACAATTCATTTACTCGATTAATTGTATATGCATTAATTAGATGTTAACTTATTTTAGTTTATGTTGAGGAATCAACTTTATAGAAATTGATAATGAAATCTAATAAATATTCATCAGCATACTAGGATGATTATACAAAAGTTGGTGAAAAAGTAACTGGAATTCCGATAATCCCTTATTAACCAGGAGTTGAAGCAGATGTTCCTATAAAGTTGTTATTCTCAGTAACAAAATTACTGGTACATCCTCCTCCTGTTATAAAAGTAGCTATTCCATAACCTGTATTAGAAGAGGAATAAATTTAATATGTATTTTGATTTCCAATATCACATAAGCCTTTTGAAACACATATAAATTGTTCATCACTAAACACACCACCACCATCATTCGCAATATACTACATTTTCTTTGGAGCATTCTATTAATCACTATGTAACACAGGACTATTCATCATAATAGTCATTTTAATATAAAAATTAGAAGCTGATAGACAGTTTACTACAGTGCCATCCCAAATTTGACTATTTAACACCTTAATAAAGAATAACAGCATTTTGTCACCATTAACAATACCAATTGTACCAGTACTTCCAAAAACAGCATCAACATTTGATAATGTATCAGTAGGGATTGAAGTGACTTGAGTTTATCCCAAAAGTCCTCCTGATGGGTTGTGCCATCCAGTCAAATCTAGAAAATGACTATCTTAAAGATATGTGATAGTAATTCCTGGATTTTCTAAATAAATATATAATGTATTTGGAGTAACAGTCTATTCCAAATAAAAACTTAGTTTACCAAATTCTATTGAAACTGAAGCTGCATCATATAATGCCTTTGTTGAAATAAAATAGATGCTGGATGCAGAGAGTGTTCCAACATTATGACAAAGAATGGAATCAGTAACAAATTCACAATACACAGGATTTTCATCATTAAAGGATGGAAAATTATGTTTGGTTGCATAACTTAATGCATGAATACAATTTAAATTAACTTTAACAACCAATGGAAAGACCAAATTTGCTGAAGATTAAACAGAAAAAGAAACTTTGAGTGAATTATAAGGTCCTTTCATTTGGGCTGAATTTTAAAGTCTAAATAATCCAACTTAAGTATCAGTTAGATCCTCTAAATAATCTATGCCCCATAAATAATTAACTCCTTCAAATTGTGTTGGTATTTTATCTACAACAAACACATTAGATCTAAATCCCTTTTCAATAATCCGATTACCCTAAGTTGGAGATTTAGTCACAACTCGAATGTCTCTTCCAGACTCAAATCCAGGATTTTCAACTCCAAATTATATTTATAATTAAGTATTAGAAATTATATCATCTTATGTGATTAATTTAATTGATTTTTCTGTTGTTGAACAAGTATAACTTTAAAATTTGCTCCAACATGATTTTGAAAGTATTTTAAAATCATTATCATCTATTCCATCAGTGTGTTAGCCTTAAACAATTTGCAATTCAATTTGTGCTCCATATATACTCTATCTTGGAGTAATAAAGATTGTGATAACATATTAAGCACCAGGAGATTTATGATTTGGATAGAGATGGTCATCAACAAAGAATGTAACAGTCATTCCTGATGGAGGTAATTCATCAACATTTAAATGGCCAGCTCGATAATTGTAATCATAAACCATTGCATTATCATCCAAACTACTTATAGTCCTTAAGATTATTGGTTCATAGTAAAATCCACTCTCTACTGATGTTGGATATATCGACAATATATACCATATTGCAGCATCCAATTGTACTGACACCTTAAAATAATAATCCAATGAAAATGATGGCTAAGTTATCAATGAAGCAGTGCTTGTCTATACCAGAACACCATCTAATGTTGTAATTTTAAAAATAACTTCAGACATCTGAAACCATTTATTATAACTATTACCTATGTTTTATGTAAATCAGCTCCTCCAAATTAAATATATCCACGATTTATCGTTGTTTCTAAACTAAATGGAATTTCTATCAGACTTAGCTTCCCCTCTATATCGTATTCATAGCCAAAATCCCATGTAGATATGTACCCTCCCTATACTAAGTAAATTAAAAACAATAAAGTATTAAGCATTATAAAAATTATTATAATTTTAATATATTAAATAATCATATATCAATCTTTCAAAAAATCTAATTGACGAGTTAAACCCATATTCTATCGTAATGTTTTCTTCACAAAAAAGTTCAACATATTAGGAGATTTCTTCATTCTTTATTGTTCCCCCCTCCTACGTAATTTAACTCCTTTTTAAATGGTTTCATATACAAAGGAATATAATGAGAATTCAGGCAGTAATCTCTTTTTACCAAAAAACTTCTGCAGTTTTGAATATCTATTTTATATTACTTTTTACCTCTTTATAACTTAATCATAATTATATGAAGGTTGATAAAATTCATAAATTTTAATTTTCTCAAATCCTAAATGAAATTCATTCTATTGTATTAAACTTTAAGCTTAATTTTATTAAGTAAGATTTGTTGTCACAGTTTAATTACGTTAATTAGACAGAGTTCTAAATGCTTAGGATCTACGAGATTTGATGTTATTGCTTGCATTTGAATGAGTCTTGATAATTAAATCAGATTATATATGATTTCCAACTATTTTTTAATCAATAGAGGTTCTGTTATTATGAAGAATTCTTTATTCAGTAGAAATTCTTTAAGTCTTTAATTTCTTTCTAGCTGACCTTAAATTTTAATAAACTATAGAAGGTTTAGAAGGCATCCGCTCAATTACATCTAAATTATTTAATGATTCATCTGAGTTCTCTATCTCCTATACAGTCTAAGCTAAAAATATATTTGCTTAAAATTCATACGTTCTTTATTAAAATCATTTTAAATTCCAAATCCTGCAGTTTATAATGTTTATAGAGCTGTCTTACTTAAGTTTTTCTTAAAACTCATCATAGACATTTATTTAAATTCATTGTCTTCTTAATGAGGTTTAACATCAATTAAAGATTTAATATCTTGAACTAATCACATTTATATTGTTACTTTATTCTATTTGTTCGTCATCTTCAAAAAAATCATACTCATACAAAGCTTAATTAGGTGAATCAAGATCTTCAGTCTATTTCAATCTAAAATCATTAATATAATTAACAGCCTTAACTTAATTGAGTGTTAGATTAATTTTAGAATTAATTTTTTTTTGTAATCTAAAATATTTTTTATTTCGTTCTTGTTTGATAGGATAAAGTTCTTATTTAATTACTCTTTCTTTATCAATACAAAAATGAACATAATTACAATTAGAGATCAAATGTGTATTACTCTAACAACTAAAACATTGTAATAATAATGGAGTGTAATCTCCAAAATTTATTTGATCTCTGATGGCAAAATATTTCTCTTGATCATCTGGATAACTCTTTAAGACATCAAGAAAGATTTGTCTTTTAATTTTAAATACTCTTGTAAAGCCTCTTGAAATTGCAGTTGCTGTTCTAGGATTACCAGTGAAAAATGACAACTCTCCAAAACTATCATATTAAGTATAATTTTTAAAAGAATTTCTTTTAATTTTCTCATTAATTTCCATACTTTCAAATATTAATTCTACATCTCCTTTTGTTATAATATACAAAGCACAATCATCCAAATCATTTAACTAAAAATAATTATAAAAATAATACAGATATAATCCGTTCATCTGGAGAATAAGATTATTCTTCCATATATTACAATAGATGTTTTACTAAAGACTCTGAAAATGTCTTAACCATTATTTTGCATCTTCTCAAAATATTTCCTCTTAATTAAAATCTCAATTCTTCCTATAATTGCTTACTTAATTTACTCACAATATCACCTACCTCATCGTCATTTTATTCTTACTCTTCTTTCCAAATATATTCCAAATAGCTCCTAATTTTAGTTTATAAATCATATTAAATCTTATTCTTTACCATAAATTTATTTATAAGACTAACGGTTTTACTATATTCCATTGAGCTTTTATAAATGTTTGTAACTAAAATACCAATACTGTTAACTGAATAAGCAAAAACAATTGATCCAATAAACATAGTAAGATTATTTATTAAAAGTTCTAAATCATTTTTAGCTGTAATGTCTCCATATCCAACTGTAGTCATAGTCATTGTTGCCCAATAAATTGCCACATTATATTTTGATGCTATTTATTTTTCTCTCATATTATATGCATCAAGCCAAGAATATGATTAACTAAAATTAGCTATTCCATGCCAAAGACAACCAAAATTATGAACTACACTAACAATCACCAACAATACTTTCATCAAATTAACTATATCATTCATCATTATACTTAAATTGAAAAATCTTTCTCATATTATAAATTAATTACTCTTATAATTAGGCTAATATTTTGTTTATTTTTGTTACTCTTAGTATACAAAATATTAGACACAATATTATTTCTATCATTATTATTTCAAAATCTTTTGAGCTCAAACTAGGTAAAAAAAACTAAATTGTGATTGTTACAAATGAAACCGCAAAAATAAATTATAAATTAATACTAAATCAACAAATGCATTCTTCTAAAAATAATTCCTTATTACTTTTTAACGATCTTTAATTAACTATCCTTTATTAATAAATGCTATGTTCATACCAACACCTATGTCTAAACATAAAATAATCATCAATATAATTTCAGCTGTTAGATTTTCTTATTCAGAATATAATTCACTTAGATGATAAATCTAAAATGAAATCTTAAAGGGCAACCAAAAAAATATTAAAAAATAGGTCAATATTTAAAATAAATCCCAAAATATAAGAAATTTGCTATATGGTGTGAAAACATCTATAAATCCAAAAAGTTAATAACTCTTATTTACCTCATTTGTGTCTGTTCTCAATTAAAGATCATCTAATTAGGAAATTTAATATTATGTTAATTAATGCAATTATCTAACATAAGAACGATTGTATAGGTTTTTTATGAAATTATTTTACAAGCTTTTAGCTATGATAATTTTAAGAAATTTTGGCTTCAAATTTAAAGATCCCACATTCTCACTTACCATAGATGGAATCTCTGGCTTTTTATTTAGACTGGTCTATGAATTTAGGAAAAGTCGAGGAGATAGTGCATTCAAACTGCTTAGACTTATAGATTAATAATCTCCATCTTAATTTCCTACTCTACTGCTAAGAAGAGGTGGAATTGGGCCTTTGAAATCTCCTTCATAAGAGTGATTAGACATCTCAATTAAAAATGGCAATTATATAAGAAAATTTATAGATAAAATAATTAGATTATTATGAATAAATTAATATTTAATAATTGCAATCATATTTAAAATATATATGATAATAGTATTTTTCTTCACTTTATGTTTTGCTGGTAAAATGCTTAATATTCTCTTGAACAATACGATTTAACCAAGCTTTATATGTAATAACTCATATTTCTCATAGAAATCGGTATTTTTCTGATTACAAAATTTAAGTAATTCCTGAAACTAACCTTCCTGAAACTGGTTATATAGAAATAATATTCTCTAGATAATAATAACAATCAGATTTAGGAGAGATAACTTATTGAAAATATTGTATTATAAAATTAACACTCCAATTTTGAGTGTATCAAATACTCTTAAAATATATAACATTTTTAATCTTGGAGAAGGAGATGGAATTAATAATTTCTATATAAGAAAATAAAGTTTTATATTTTGAAAACTATATTTTCCAATTATTAATATTGCAGTTCATGCTTAGTTTCATTGTTTATCCCCCGAAATTCCGATAGTTTGGAAAAATATAATTTAGCGTTTATTAATACGAATAAATTACATTTAGGTTTCTTTTAAATTATTTTTAATTATATTTTATCTAAAAAATAATTCTAATCAATTTTTGATTCTTTTTATTATTCCATTTTTTATTAAACTAAAACTTCTAATCCTAACCTTTATAATTTGAACATAATTTTCTATTAGATGAGAAAATTATAAAAAATTTAATTATATATAATTAATCTCATCTAACATCAGTTTATGTAACAAATGTATAGATTTTAATGATTCTTCTTCTTGAATTTTATATTCTTATTATAATTTACATGATTTCATACAATATATGAATTTTCATTTACATAATAATAGCATTTAATTATAACAGATTAATAATATTGAATTATTTCTAAAAATGATTAATGATGTTCTTATAATTGATGAGAGATTAAAATAGTTGTAAGAGGAAGTAGAGATGATGGAATAATAATATGGATTAGTGAAGAATTTTAGTTAAAGGAAGTTGGAAACCGATTAAAAAAGGAAGATAATTAAAAATAATAAAAAAAAAATAATAGATATTAAAATTTATAAAATTTTGTAAAGCAACAAGAAATTAAACAATAAAAAATGAAAGCATAATTATCAAATAAATGGGTTGTAATATTTTTAGAGAAACCATCAATAATGCAATTTTATGATGTTGGTAGATTTCTTCCTACTCTTCAAAGTCCATATGATATATAAATTAAACCAACTATGCCTAATGATGAGAATGTATACGAAACCTATATTGATAATTTAAAATATGATTGATAACATATAATTCATACCTTAATACTAATATTTTATTGATATTTTTCAAAACAAAAAGCAGTAAACTCCTTAATTTTGAATATTCTTAAAATACATTTTTCTTTAAATGATTAAGTCTTATTATTTGTTTATTTTCAATGAATTTAATTGTTTCATTATAATTTAAATTATAATATATTCTAAATAATAAAAGTAAAAAGAAAAATATATGGAATCAGATAGATCAAATTAATTACAAGAATTCGTAATATTGTTTTCTACATAGTTATACGAAAATATAAAAAGTTTTAAATTTAGATTCATAATATATTTGGGAAATATAGGTAGCATTTGGAGAAGATGAAACAATTAATGATAAATAGATAAAAAAATATCAAAAAAAGTTTAGAATATAATTAATAATGAGATGATGGATACAAATAAATGATTGAAAATAACATTTTAACAATGACAAGTTGAGGTAATCAATATATTAGATTTTTAGAAGGATGATAAAATAATGTTTATACATTGGAATTATCTTATTAATCATTGCTAATAAAACTAAAGGATATGTGGATGACAGTTGCATAATGATTAAATTTTAAATAAAACATGTGAAGTATGGGTATCGGAATAAACCTTTTTAAGAATCTAATAACAAATAAATATGCATTGTATAACATGATCACATATTTAAATAAAGATTAGAAGTAGATTGAATTAATGATTAATGATCAATGACAAGGACAAATATATAAATTAATGAATGAAGATTATTTTCTAGAAGATATTAATGGTTATTTAAGAACAAGATAATAGAACTTAAAGGATTAATATGAAAAATATATAGGTATGATTTTGTATTCTAAATAGATAATGTCATAAATGTAAAACAAAATTAACATAATTACTGAAACAGTTTGAATTGATAAAGTTGAATGATGAGTAAATCGAGAAGTGTAATAAAAAGTAGTAAAATAAAGAATGTTGAAGTTACATGATTGAATGAAAGCTTAAATATAGATATAATTTATTATACTCAATTTACGTTGTTTATTCTCTTTGTTTTGTAAAATTAAAACACATTATAGATGAATTTACCAAAAATATCATTTTTTGATGATCCAAAATCGTAATTGTGGATCAAGGAAGTTATTTAGATGTCTGATCCAATAATAAGTGGGACTCTTTTAAAAAATTCAAAGAAGGGAGTTCAGAAAGAGATCAACTACTTTATATAAGATGGAAGATTAGCAAATAATAAAAAGTATATAGATCTTTAGAATGTAACATTGGATAAACTAAAGAATTATGGTTTCAAATTGACAAGGAATAGAAAAACAATAGAGTTGTTTGCCCATAATGAATAAGCACAAGTAGTATGGTATGATTATCTGAAATCGTTTTGCATTTAAAGAGGGTTTAACAATGTTTACTCCATAAACAAATTAATAGGGAAAGGTAATTTCGCAAAGGTAAATAGTAGTATAATAATGAAAAAGGTTTACAGTGCATAAAAAAAGTGTGATCAATCATTGTACGCTGTTAAGGCATTTGACAAACTGAAATTTCAAGACATTCGAATTGATAAGGTAGAAATGAAGATTTACATATTATAAGCCTGCATTAATAAAGGAGTTATCAATAATGAGAAAGATGGATTTTCGAGGTGTGATCAAATTGTATGAGGTTTATGAAAATGACAATTACATTTTTTTAGTCTGTGAATTATTAGAAGGAGGAGAACTATTTAATTAGATGAAGGGTAAGGCTTATGATGAAAAGACTGTGGCTAACATAATGTATAGAATCTTATAATCTATTGATTACATCCATTCTATGGGAGTATTACATAGAGACATCAAAGTAAATTATCATTTTATAAATAGCCTGAAAACCTTATATTACGAACAAAAGGAGATATGACAGATGTTGTTATAGCGGATTTTGGTTTAGCAGACTATTATAATCCAACTGGTGATTATATGTTTAAACGTTGTGGCACTCCAGGATATGTTGCACCTGAGTTATTATAAGATAAAATCTATGATTATAAAGTGGACATCTTTAGTGCAGGAGTGCTTATGTTTATAATGTTGACAGGTGCATCACCTTTTAAGGCTAAATCTTATGATGAGATTGTAATGAAAAACTACCATTGTCAAATCGAATATAGTTTAATAAACAATCATCCTTTGAGCGAAGAAGCAATTCACTTATTAAAATCATTACTTGAAAAGAATCCAGATCTCAGAATCAGTACAGAATTAGCAATTTAACATCAATGGTTTTAGAAACAAGCAGACTATTAATTGCATCTGTAATAATTTGTTATAGTAAAAAAAGTGAAGAAAACTTACCAAGACACAAAAGAAATTCAGATTTGTATGCTAGAACACCATTAATGGGTTAAGAACTCAATTAATCATTAACATCTACTCCTTTAAGTGTTACTCCTTAGATGAGGAGCAAGTCAAACACAGCTGATATTAATAGAGAAGAATAAAATGGAAATACATTCAGATAATAGAGTTAATCAGTTAAAGTTTAAAAATAAGAATGCATTTTGGAAGAGAATGACTATAATGTTAATGAAGATGATGACATTCCTCGTAGCAATTAAATCAAAATGTATTAGATACAACCTAAATTAAAGAAGAGTAATAGTTTGATATCTATTATAGATTAAGAAGAATAATAAAAATACAATGTAGATAATGCTAATAGCATTCGTGGATCACTTAAATAAGCTTTTTGAATAAAATATATTATAATTTCATTATTTTGTAATTTTAACAATGTTTCCTTACTTTATTCCTTAAATCAACCATTTTTTAAATTGGGAATTACTTAAATACGATTCAACAGAAACCTTTAATCCTTTTTCAAGTCAATTCAATAGAATGATCTGTACAAGCATGGTATAAAGTTCCTGATTCAATTCATCTTAATAGTACACATTATAGATTATTCAAAGCCAAATATAATTATCATATTAATTAAGCTAAATCGGATATAGGCTTTAGATTAGAATCTAAATTCTATTGATTCTATTAACTATGAATTTACTCGTCCTCTTTAGCATCATTTTTAAATCTTATACTCATTATTGGTTATTTATTATTATTAAGAAGAGCAGCAATTAATACCATTACTGAAATAAGAGGATTAAATTGATAAAAAATGAAAAAGAGTTCTAATGCCATCAATTTAGGTATAAATCATTAGCACAATTAAGAGGATTTTAATAGATTACTAAATTTCTGATTTCTTAGAATAGTAGAATTCTAATATTTACATATGAAAAATTTGAAGTAATTCTGGAAATTGAATAATAATTTGAAAAATATTACTAAAGACATTGTAAATGTAGTATTTGAAACAAAGAAACTGTCATTGAATAATTATTAAGAACTTTAATACATCAATTTATTATTTATAATATAAAACTGAATTTTAATTCAATTAAAAAAATATATCTAGAATATTCTTCATTCAATATTTTTACAATACACGCAACAATAATACCAAGACAATATATTTATCTATGAAATATTTCTTATTACTAGCACTAGTACTGATTGTCTTATCAAAATAAGAGATTTAAGAAGTTGATGGTGTCTTGTAACTTTCAAGAAGCAATTTCTAATAAGCTGTTGATGAGAATCCAAGATTGATAGTAAAATTCTATATTGACACATGCAGATATTGGTATACATATTAAAATAATCTTATAAAGTAAGAAGATGAAACCAGTCTATATTAAATTAGCAGAGATGTTAAAAGAATATGGATTTGTGTTAGGTGAAATCAATGCTCATGAAAATAAGGCTTTCACAGCAAAAAACAATGTAAAATCTTATCCAACACTTAAACTTTACAAAAATGGTGTTGTTTAAGATTTTCCAAACTAATCTGACTCAGTTGATTTATTGTTTGAATTTGCTCTCTAAAATGCTTATGATTAGTTTACTAATTTAAATACTTAGGAAGAAGTATATAAAATATTTAATTAATCTTAGATTGATCTATTCTTAAAAAGATGTAATTTTGCATTACTCAAATATGTTAATAATGATGATGATTTAAAATAATTTAGTGATGAAAATATTGGAGTTAAATTTGGTATTGTTGTAAATCCAGAACTTTAACAAGCTCATTCATCAAAATATACATTGTATCATAAAGAATTGCCATAACCAATTAATTATGATGGTGATATTGATGGATTAAAAGAATGGATATTAACAAATGGTTTTCCAAAAGTTTTTACATTTACAGAGGAAGAATTCCTTAAGGCTGAAAAAGATAAGATTAATTTGATAGGAGTGGCTGGTGTTAAAAACAGTCCTCTACATGAAACTTTAAAGGCATTAGCAGAATTATATAAAAATAAAATTAGATTCATCCTTATTAATCCAAATTTAGAATTACCTAATAAGAGATTCTAATATTTAATTAAAAAGAAAGCCATAGCTAGTAATGCTGTTTATTATTACAATTATAAGTAATTTAACATTTAATATTGTATTTAGTACTAAAAAAACATATACAAAGGAATTTTCAGATGAATCATTAGAAACACATTAAAAAATAGTAGAGACTTTAATTGAAGAATCTAATAATGGATAAGAACCTATAAAAGCTGATTCTGACAAATATTTCAAAGGAGATGGATAAGTTCATGTCTTAAATACTGAAAATTTTAAAGAATAAGTTTATGACAATCCAAACCATGTATTTGTTAAATTTTATGCTCCTTGGTGTGGTCATTGCAAAAACTTAGCACCTATTTATGAAGAATTAGCCTCATAATTAGATAGACAAGATATTGTGATTGCTGAAGTTGATTTTACAGTTGATAGAATTGAAGGTATTTAAATTTAAGGATATCCAACTTTAATATTTTTTAAGAATGAAGGAGGTTAAAAAAAATAAATAGAATACGAAGGTGGAAGATCAGTTGAAGGAATGAAAGATTTCTTATTAAAAAAATTAGATAGTAATTCTAATAGTGAACCTCAAATTAAATTAACAGAAGAATCTTTATCAGTAAATGAATCTGATAGAGTTGAAATTCCTAACGATGGACAAGTTATTTAATTGACATTAGAGAATTTTGAATAGACTGTTTTAAAAAGTAAATAAGATGTATTTGTCAAATTTTATGCTCCTTGGTGTGGACATTGTAAAGCTATGGCAGCAGAATATGTGAAATTAGCCGAATAATATAAAAATAGCAAAAATGTTTTAATTGCTGAATTAGATGCTACTATTCATAAAATACCAATTGTTGAAGTTAAAGGATTCCCTACTTTAATACATTTTAAGAAAGACTAGACTAGTGTAAAACAAATAAAATATAGTGGTAAAAGAACAGCAGAAGCGATAACAGAATTTATTGAAAGTAATATTAATTCTGCTTAAAAATAAGATCTGTGAATTATATGTTAAAAAACAGTATTATTTTATATTTTCTTATTTTAGTATTTTTTGTAATTTATACAAACACTTTTAGTTTAATATATATATATAAAAAAATCATAAAATATTTTATAATTTTTTTATCAATCTTCCTTTCCATGGTTTCTGTTAGATTTCTTTGACTGTAATTTATTTACCTTCATAATCCATCTATTTGGTAGTTAGATATTAACCCTAATAGGCATTGCAAGGAAGAATTTCTTCGGGTTTCACGAACACCCTAATAGGTTTTTGATTTTTTTAAACAAATGATTCCTAATAGACTGAACGCAATTGATTTGGAAATATTTTTGTAATAGTTTAACTATTTAATATTTTATTTTTTTAATACTGAAATTATTTTTACTTGATATCATCAGCTGTTGGTTAGTTTTCATCTTTGATTTTCCAAATGAATTGATTTCGATAATTAGTTCTTGCCATCAGATTGGTTTTACCAGTAGTACGAAATTGGGGAGCCTTAAAAATATTTGGAGTATAGTCCTTCCAATTAATAAAAGTGAGCAAGACTATTGAATAGAAATTCGTACATTGTTAGTAGTTTATCCAGTAGGCAAGTTGTGAGATTCATACATAGATTTAGAAGATGTTCTTGGTCTATCCTATGGTATCCATTTATAATTATCTCTCTAAGTAGAATTGAATTGCATTGATGCTACTGGTAATCCAATATTATCATAATGAGTTTGTGTTATTATTGGAGTACAACATTTATTTTATTTTGGTACATAATCAAACCTATTAGAAGTAAGCATTCCATATGCATAATTTAATTCTAATTTCTTTTTGTATTAACATATGCATTTATTACATGTACATTTAGCACAAGCACATTAAGCAAAAATATGGCATAAATATGACTGATTCTCTTCAACATATTGTTCAATATCTGGTATGTCCTTAAGGTCTTCTTTAAATATCTATTTGAACTTCTACTCATCACAATAATCTAGCCAATCAAAATCTATTTCAAAACAAAAAGCTTGAGTAGTCGTTGAAGATTAATGTGAGACTGTAGATTTTGGTGGAGCCATATTCTCCAAATTCGTCAAGTTTAATTTATCGATAAAAGTATTTCTTAACTGTTCTGCAATCTTATTTGGTTTTATTATTGCTCCATCTTTCTTATTCTTGTAAAACTTCTTTAATTAAGGCTTTTGTAACAGACTGTTTGCTCTATTACGAAGTTCCTTTTCATTTAGTGAATCACTAAAACCAGAAGACTTTGTCATTCTCGCTTATTCTATCTCTCTTCCAATTGATACATATGTAGATTTCTTCGACATTTATTATTATTAATTATTTAACCCTTTAAATGAATAACAACAACATGTATCAATTTTGCAGAGTCAATTGGCCAAAAGGACTTAAATCATTCAAATCAAAAACTATTCGTTTAAGTTAAGATGTTGTTACATTTCTTAAAGAAGATGGCATTTTTCTAAATGATGCTTGGAAAAAACCTCCTCTCCAAGATAATGGAACAAAGAGGTTTCATGAATTAGAATAAATTATCAATCAAATTTTGGATGATTATGATAATGTCTTCATTAAATTAAATTGGAGGGCTCCTCTTGATTGTTAAAATACATTTTAAGATATGTGCTTTTCAGATATGTATGACATTATGATGGCTCTAAAATATTCTGGAATTATTATGGAAATGATAGAGGATTATGATGAATTTGTAATTGATCAAAATCATCCTGATAAATGCTAAATCGTCGATTAACCCTCAAAAGGATATTTATTAGAATTAAGAAAATATTATAAACTCAGACCTAATTCGGAATTTAGATGTTTTATTAAATAGAAAAAACTCATAGCCATCTCTTAAAAAAATCTATACTTAATTACAGAGGATGAGAGTGTTAAAGATAAAATTCAAAATTATTTCAATAAAATAGTTGATTTAATTGATATCGATAGTTATGTTTTAGATGTTTATATTGACATTCCACCTAAAGAAAATATTATTTTAGTTGATTTTAATCCTTGGTAAGAACATACAAGGCCAAAATTATTCACCTACGAGGAGTTGGAAAATATGGAAGAATGTTAACTAAGATTAGTAAACAATAAGGAGATGATAATTTAAGAAGATTATAGTGGATATAGAGAATCCTTAGATTTAGAAACTTTAATTTAATAATAATAGTAAGAATAATAATTGTAATAATAATAATAATAACAATAATAGGAGGGGTAATAATAATAGTGATGATTATAATAAATGAATTGTAAATTATTTATATATTAAATGTTGTACAATACAAAATAAGATGATCATCATTCAGAATATAACCATCCAGTTTTGCAAAATGTTTCAGCAAGAACTAATGATAGAATAGCCATGAGTTTAATTAGAATATTCAAAGATGGACCTGATGTATCTTTAAGGGGATCGCCAACAGTATCACCTAATTATTTTGTTTAATATAATACCAATAACAGCAGCCTTATGTTCATCTGATCCCTTCTTCTTAACTTCTCCAGCTTCATTTTTATAAAATCCAGCTTCAATATATTTTTTAGCATTATCCCAAGCTCCTCCTGTATTTGATGCAGAGATAGCCATCTAAACTCCACTGATTAAAGCACCTGGTAATAGGCCAGCCACTGCTTAAGGTCCAAATAATAATCCAACAGCAGTAGGAGTAACAATAACCTAATTTTAGTTTGATAGATATATACCAATAATCCTGGTGGAATCATTTCTTTTAATGAGGCTTTAGTTGAGATAGCAATACAGGCTCTAAAATCTGGTTCTTCAGTTCCGGCATAAATTCCTGGGTGTTCATGTAATTGTCTTCTTACTTCTTCAACCATTTATAAAGCAGCCTTTCCAACTGATTTCATAGTGAATGCAGAAAAAGCATATGGTAACATGGCACCAATTAACAACATTGCAAAGATAATTGGATCATCAATTTTTGCACCTACTGCATAAGGGTATTCATCCTCATCATTTTTAAATGTTTAGATTCTTGTCAAATAACCACCATAAAGTGATAATGAGACTAATGCTGCAGATCCTATAGCAAATCCTTTTCCAATGGCAGCTGTAGTATTACCAGCAGCATCTAATGCATCAGTAGATGTTCTAACATCTTCTCCCAATTCGCTCATTTCTGCAATACCACCAGCATTATCTGAAATAGGTCCATAAGCATCAATAGCTAATCCAATAGTTAAATTAGATAACATTCCTAGAGCAGCTAAGGCAACACCATAGAATGATAATAATTTCATTGATAATAAAGCTGTGACAGCTATTGCAATAATTGGAACAATTGTAGATAAATAACCTAAAGCTAATCCATAAATAATGTTAGTAGCAGCTCCTGTTCCACATGATTTAGCAACTTCTCTTACTGGAGTATAAGAATGGGAAGTCATGTATTCAGTGAAATATCCGATTAATAAACCAGACCATACTAAACAAATATACAATAATTAATTACATCCCATCAATGAACAAACAAATGCATGCCATGGCTTAAGATTTTCTAATAAAGGTGTTCCATCTGCTTAAATCATCATATAATCTGATGGCAATGCCCAATATGAAATTCCAATAATGATTGGTGATAATGCTACAGTTGACAATAAAAGTTATAATTTAAGAGATGATTCAATTTTATGAATATCAGTAACTTTTTGAATGAATACTGCATATCCAGAAACCAGAATGCAAATACCAATACCAAAAGCTGATACCATCAATGGATACATTAATTCTCCAATTGAAATTGAAATAATTCCATCACCACTTATTACCCTTAATTAAGTTGATGAAACAACTAAAGCAGCACAAGTAGATTCAGCAAATGATCCAAATAAATCTGCTCCCATACCTGCAATATCTCCAACATTATCTCCTACATTATCAGCAATTGTTGCTGGATTCTATCATATATTTCTATATTTAAATACCTTTGGACTATCTTCTGGTAAATTCTTTTCTACTTTACCAACCAAATCAGCTCCAACATCAGCAGCCTTGGTATAAATACCTCCACCAACTCTACCAAACAATGCAAATGTTGATCCTCCTAAACCATAAGCAGCTACATAATCAAACATTGATATCAAGGTTCCAAGATCTCCTTCTTCTACCAAGACAGAATTATAAATGATGATGATAAGTGATAAAATTGATAATGAAATTGACACTAACAAGAATCCCATAACACAACCACCTCTATATGCCATCTAAATGAATTTCATTCTATATGTACTTAAAATGCATCTGCTAAAGATCTTATGGCACAAAATGCTGTTCTGAAATTTGCTGCTGTTGCTATTGCCATACCCAAATAGCCACAAAGCATTGATGTTGCTGCTCCCAAAACAAATGCTAAAGTTGACCATGGGGATACAAACTAAAATATTACATTATAGAATTACAATCAAAGCTACAGCCATTATTGCTATAAAAACACTACAGTCTGTATATTCTTCTCTCAAAAAGGCTTGGGCACCCTTATTATTAAATCAAAATATTTACATCAGAAATATGTTCTCCAATCTCTAAAAGTGTTTCGATTTTCTCTTATTCTGCTCCTTATAATTTTTCTGTCAGACCTTCATGTTTATGATGAATTTCTATCTTATGAACTGCAATCCAATTAAATATTGCCCATGCAATTCCACAACCACAAGCTATAAATATGAAAACTAGTGCTGTTACAAACTCCATTAATATTTTAATGTTTAAAAACAAAATCTTGATATTGCGCAATAAAAATATACCAAAAATTAATCACTAAATCCTCATAGTGCGTAACATTCTAATTAATTAAAGTATATTATTTGATTTATCAGCTAATCTTAAATACTTCTAAACCTAATAAAAAACAATATTAAAATGTATAAATTTAATAAATTTCGATTTATTCAACGAATATTTTAGATTTAATTATTTTATGAAAATTTATAACTCTTAATAAAAATAAATATAAATCAGATATTAACCATCATTTGTATGTTACAGAAAGTTCTTTAAGTAATTGGAGTTGAAGAAAACGAAGAATAAAAAATGGAGGCAATTTATGATGATTTCTAAAGGCCTCCAAAGATTTAGATCGCAATGATGCATGCTGCTGCAACTAAATTTGCAAAGACAGATCCTAATATTGACCTTGATAAAACCAATGTTTGTCCTTGTTGTGGATTACCAACTGTAATTGAAGAAATTCCACTATGCTCATCAAGGAAAGAATTCAGTTTCAATGGTTCAGGAATCGCATTATATTTTGATTTCTTGGTGTTTTCTGGAGTTCTTGTTTTTACTTATATGTATTAATATATTAAAATATTATTAGTGCTATTAGTTGCGGATATAATATATATGCTAATTCTTAAGGAAAACGATGTAGTTAATTAAACATTTCTCTAGCTGATAAATGTAAAACAGATTTTTTCAACTAATTCTCTTTGACAAACGATAATGAGTAATAATTATAATCTATATCTAATAGACAATTCGACGAAATTCGTAGCATTCTAAATTTTATATCCCTAATAGTTATTTTATTTATGACTTTATTTTACAGAAGACATATAAATAAGATTGCAATGGAATTAGATGATGCTGCTATATTGGCTTCTGATTTTTCAATTATTGTTGAAAATATTCCAAGAGATGCTAAAGAACCTGAAATTTAAGAATATTTTACTTAATCCTTTCAAAATGAAACTGTCGAATTAAGAAAACTATGTATTGCATATGAAATCCAACCATATTTAAAATTGAACACTCAAAAATAACTAAAAGAAACAGTTCTTACAAAAGTACTTGAATTAGAAGCTGAAGGAAAAAGAATACCTAAATCAATTCCATCAAGACTGTAATTAAAAGATGAAATTGATAAAATTTCAAAGGAATTAGATTATATGGAAGACAATAGAGCAACTATTTTCGATTTTAGTGGAATTTGCATAATAAGTTATAATAAGGAAAAATAAGCTGATAATATTTGTAAAACCTTTAAAGCGACAAGGTTTTAAATATTGCTAGATTAATTAGGATTTGAATAAAATGAATTTAAAAAGTTTAGAAATAATAATCTTTTAGTAAGAAAAGCACCAGAACCTGGAGATATTATTTGGGGTAATCTAGGAATAACAATTAAAGAATAATATAAAAGAACATTAATTACTAATCTTATGACTTTATTTCTGTTAGCCATTGGTTTTGGTTTATTACTTGGATTGTCTTATCTTCAAAATGTCATTAATAAAAATATTTCAAAAGACTCAAATGCTTAAATATATTTAATTAATCTTCTTGGCTTTGCTTCATCTATTCTTATTTTAATTATTAACACCGTTTTAGCTAAAATGATTGTGAAATTTACTGAATTAGAGTAGTAAGCTACAAGAACATATTATGATGTAAGCGTGGCTTATAAAATGGGAGTAGCTCAATTTCTCAATACTGCCATTTTGACTTTAATTATTAATCTATTTATTACTGAAGATGTTTCAAGTTTAAATCAAGCAATTTGGCAAACAGGAGGACTGAATTCAAATATTATGTTGATTTTTATTACTAATTCAATTATGCCTTGGCTAACTTAATTGTTAGATGTTAATTATTTTTATAAGTTATATGTCAGACAAAAAATTATAAGATAAGGAGAAGATTGCAAATATACCTAAAATGAAGCTAATTAGTAAAAATTATTTATATTTTAGAGCATTTGAAGGACCCTCAATTGATTTATCTTAAAAATATGCTAATTTATGCAAGACTTTAATGTTTACATTTTTATATTCAGCATTATTACCTGTTGGAGTTTGCTTTACATTTTTCTCAATTGTTTGTATTTATTGGACAGAAAAATACTTATTAATTAGAAGAGACTCAAAGCCTGCTCCAACAGGAAGTGCAATGGCTGAAGCAATGATCGATTTTTATATCGAATTAATTCTATTATTATTTTCCGTAAAAATCAATACTCATAATTTAGTTAGGATGTACCTTTTGGGAATGGGTGAATTATGATTAAGTACACTATCTTACATGGCTGTAATTGGGATTCTCAACACTGCATTATTTAGTACCAATTTAGAAAGTCTGTGGTTGCATAGTGGATTTAGGGATTGACAATGCCACTGTTGAAACATATGATCAAAAATTCTTAACTTTTTATGATGATTATGATAGACGCAATCCTGTTACTTTGGATTCAGCAAAAGAAAAATGGATAAAACTTCATTAGGAAACTGTTTAATCCAATTTTTAACCAAAAACTAAGTAATAAGAAATTGTAATAGTAGAAATTTAATTAAAAAATTTCATTAAATCAATCATATCTCTTCGGGAATAGCCAAAATTCATCCCTTAGATAGTAGGAATATCAAAGATATTGATTAAATATAAGAACTTTAATCTTGATTTAAATATAATGTGTTATAAATAATATAATTCTAATATAATCTTAAATTCGTATAATTAGGATTAACATTTGAAATTGTTATTTCATGAAATAAAATTATTCTTATGTATTTTTTTGTTAATTAAGATTTCTAGATCTTCATATAAATTATTTGAGCTGGCTATGGTTTAACTATTGCTAAATTAAACACTTATGTAAAAATTTTTCAGGACATTTAAGCCGTTCATTCATTCTTGGCAACATTTTATAAATTTATTTTTACAATGATTGCGTGTAAAGGATTACAGGTAAATTACTTTTTACAAAATAAAAATTAAAACAATTATGTTCAGTATTTTTTCAATTTTCTTTTAAAAGAAATTAATTCAAAATTGCATTTTTTTTATTATTATTTTTCCAAATTATAAGTTTAATAGCAAATCTCATCTAAATGGGCTTTAGAATTATTCATAATAACTTTTTTTGATTATAAATAATATTTGATTATTTCTTTTTATTTATTGATAATCATTTCAGAATTAATTGTTTTTTTCTTTTCATTTTTTTTTATCATATTAAAAGCAGCTTGTTGATGAAAAGTATTTATTATATAAAAACATACCTTATATATAATTTTTATTTTTACAATTAATCCTAAACGTTATTTTGCAATCTTAATAAAATTGTAATATTATTTTTCTCAATTGATTTAGAGAAAATTAATTTAGAAATCAATGAGATATAAAATAAATAGCAAATAGTTCATCCTCTTCATCAATATAAATTCTGTAAAATTATTTTTTTTTCTGCATTTTGGTTAATTTTTAAAAGTTTGCTATCGCAGCGTTTTATTTTTTAATTCACGAATTCAAAAAATAAATATTTTTCTATATTAATTTAAATTCATTCTATCTTTGCTTAATTATAAAGAATTTTTAAAGTGTTATTAAATACAAAAATATAAAGTTATACCTGTATACTATGCACTATGCAATTTTTAGAGAAAATTCTCAATTAACAGATTGTATTTAAGTGAACTTAGAATCATAACTTTTTAAATTAATTTAAGGATTGCACTTATGATTAAATTCAAATTCTTATTGTTAGAAGACGAAGATAACATTTATTCAATTACAATTACAATTTTATTTTTTTTCTTTTTATACGTTTTATCTGGAGTATAAATTTGAGGTTTAAATAGTTTAATTATGTTTAGTGAACTATAATATAATTATCAAATAATGCACGTTTGTAAATCATATATATATCTATTACTTATACATTTTGTAGATTGATTAAAATATTCTAACAATCTATATAAAAGCAATATTTTCTTGATGTCTTGATGCAAAATAAAGTTAGAAATTATTTAAATAGAATTTGGTTAGAGAAAATTCTTCTTAAAAAATACTTTATTGAGAGTAAAATATTATCAAATATCTAAGTCAGCATTAAAAATATTTTTTTTATTACCTNATTATGATGTAAGCGTGGCTTATAAAATGGGAGTAGCTCAATTTCTCAATACTGCCATTTTGACTTTAATTATTAATCTATTTATTACTGAAGATGTTTCAAGTTTAAATCAAGCAATTTGGCAAACAGGAGGACTGAATTCAAATATTATGTTGATTTTTATTACTAATTCAATTATGCCTTGGCTAACTTAATTGTTAGATGTTAATTATTTTTATAAGTTATATGTCAGACAAAAAATTATAAGATAAGGAGAAGATTGCAAATATACCTAAAATGAAGCTAATTAGTAAAAATTATTTATATTTTAGAGCATTTGAAGGACCCTCAATTGATTTATCTTAAAAATATGCTAATTTATGCAAGACTTTAATGTTTACATTTTTATATTCAGCATTATTACCTATTGGAGTTTGCTTTACATTTTTCTCAATTGTTTGTATTTATTGGACAGAAAAATACTTATTAATTAGAAGAGACTCAAAGCCTGCTCCAACAGGAAGTGCAATGGCTGAAGCAATGATCGATTTTTATATCGAATTAATTCTATTATTATTTTCCGTAAAAATCAATACTCATAATTTAGTTAGGATGTACCTTTTGGGAATGGGTGAATTATGATTAAGTACACTATCTTACATGGCTGTAATTGGGATTCTCAACACTGCATTATTTAGTACCAATTTAGAAAGTCTGTGGTTGCATAGTGGATTTAGGGATTGACAATGCCACTGTTGAAACATATGATCAAAAATTCTTAACTTTTTATGATGATTATGATAGACGCAATCCTGTTACTTTGGATTCAGCAAAAGAAAAATGGATAAAACTTCATTAGGAAACTGTTTAATCCAATTTTTAACCAAAAACTAAGTAATAAGAAATTGTAATAGTAGAAATTTAATTAAAAAATTTCATTAAATCAATCATATCTCTTCGGGAATAGCCAAAATTCATCCCTTAGATAGTAGGAATATCAAAGATATTGATTAAATATAAGAACTTTAATCTTGATTTAAATATAATGTGTTATAAATAATATAATTCTAATATAATCTTAAATTCGTATAATTAGGATTAACATTTGAAATTGTTATTTCATGAAATAAAATTATTCTTATGTATTTTTTTGTTAATTAAGATTTCTAGATCTTCATATAAATTATTTGAGCTGGCTATGGTTTAACTATCAAATAATGCACGTTTGTAAATCATATATATATCTATTACTTATACATTTTGTAGATTGATTAAAATATTCTAACAATCTATATAAAAGCAATATTTTCTTGATGTCTTGATGCAAAATAAAGTTAGAAATTATTTAAATAGAATTTGGTTAGAGAAAATTCTTCTTAAAAAATACTTTATTGAGAGTAAAATATTATCAAATATCTAAGTCAGCATTAAAAATATTTTTTTTATTACCTGCTTTAAATGATTAGATAAAAATTATTCAAAATCAAAATGATCTATCTGTTGATATGAAAATTTCTAAATTATTGAATTTTTAGATAAATTATATTTTCTGAAAAATACAACTATGTAGCGAAAATAAGCAATCAATTTTTATAATTTTAGTATCAATCACTATAAAGTCAATAAATTGTCAATTTTTTAAGGAACCAAAGTTTAATTGCTAAGATTTCATAAATACTAAAAAAATAATATTCACTTATAAACATGACTGGATCAAATTAAAAACTTCAAAAAAGACAATAAACTCTTAATATTTTAATTCTTACCCTCACTAATATTAAAATCATATTAATGATATAATATTTCAGATTTAATCAAATTATCAAAATTAATTATTTAAAGACTCTAATAAATAGCAATTAGAAATTGATATTTTTATATGTTGAATTAAGTTCTTTAAGTAATTGGAGTTGAAGAAAACGAAGAATAAAAAATGGAGGCAATTTATGATGATTTCTAAAGGCCTCCAAAGATTTAGATCGCAATGATGCATGCTGCTGCAACTAAATTTGCAAAGACAGATCCTAATATTGACCTTGATAAAACAAATGTTTGTCCTTGTTGTGGATTACCAACTGTAATTGAAGAAATTCCATTATGCTCATCAAGGAATGAATTCAGTTTCAATGGTTCAGGAATCGCATTATATTTTGATTTCTTGGTGTTTTCTGGAGTTCTTGTTTTTACTTATATGTATTAATATATTAAAATATTATTAGTGCTATTAGTTGCGGATATAATATATATGCTAATTCTTAAGGAAAACGATGTAGTTAATTAAACATTTCTCTAGCTGATAAATGTAAAACAGATTTTTTCAACTAATTCTCTTTGACAAACGATAATGAGTAATAATTATAATCTATATCTAATAGACAATTCGACGAAATTCGTAGCATTCTAAATTTTATATCCCTAATAGTTATTTTATTTATGACCTTATTTTACAGAAGACATATAAGTAAAATTGCAATGGAATTGGATGATGCTGCTATATTGGCTTCTGATTTTTCAATCATTGTTGAAAATATTCCAAGAGATGCTAAAGAAACTGAAATTTACGAATATTTTACGTAATCCTTTCAAAATGAAACTGTCGAATTAAGAAAACTATGTATTGCATATGAAATCCAACCATATTTAAAATTAAACACTCAAAAACAACTAAAAGAAACAGTTCTTACAAAAGTACTTGAATTAGAAGCTGAAGGAAAAAAAATACCTAAATCAATTCCATCAAGACTACAATTAATAGAAGAAATTGATAAAATTTCAAAAGAATTAGATTATATGGAAGACAATAGAGCAACTATTTTCGATTTTAGTGGAATTTGCATAATAAGTTACAATTATGAAAAATAAGCTGATAATATTTGTAAAACCTTTAAAGCGACAAGGTTTTAAATATTGCTAGATTAATTAGGATTTGAATAAAATGAATTTAAAAAGTTTAGAAATAATAATCTTTTAGTAAGAAAAGCACCAGAACCTGGAGATATTATTTGGGGTAATCTAGGAATAACAATTAAAGAATAATATAAAAGAACATTAATTACTAATCTTATGACTTTATTTCTGTTAGCCATTGGTTTTGGTTTATTACTTGGATTGTCTTATCTTCAAAATGTCATTAATAAAAATATTTCAAAAGACTCAAATGCTTAAATATATTTAATTAATCTTCTTGGCTTTGCTTCATCAATTCTCATCTCAATCATAAATGTGGTTTTAGCTAGAATGATCGTTAAATTTGCTGAATTAGAATAGTAAGCTACAAGGACAGATTATGATGTAAGCGTGGCTTATAAAATGGGAGTAGCTCAATTTCTCAATACTGCCATTTTGACTTTAATTATTAATCTATTTATTACTGAAGATGTTTCAAGTTTAAATCAAGCAATTTGGCAAACAGGTGGACTCAACTCAGATGTTATGTTGATTTTTATTACTAATTCAATAATGCCATGGCTAACTTTATTGTTAGACATTAAATATTTTTATAAGTTATATGTCAGATAAAAAATTATCAGATAAGGGGAAAATTGCAAATATACTTAAAATGAAGCTAATTAGTAAAAATTATTTTTATTATAGAGCATTTGAAGGACCCTCAATTGATTTATCTTAAAAATATGCTAATCTTTGCAAGACACTTTTGTTTACATTTTTATATTCAGCATTATTACCTATTGGAGTTTGCTTTACATTTTTCTCAATTGTTTGTATTTATTGGACAGAAAAATACTTATTAATTAGAAGAGACTCAAAGCCTGCTCCAACAGGAAGTGCAATGGCTGAAGCAATGATCGATTTTTATATCGAATTAATTCTATTATTATTTTCCGTAAAAATCAATACTCATAATTTAGTTAGGATGTACCTTTTGGGAATGGGTGAATTATGATTAAGTACACTATCTTACATGGCTGTAATTGGGATTCTCAACACTGCATTATTTAGTGCCAATTTAGAAAATCTGTGGTTGCATAGTGGATTTAGGAATTGATAATGCCACTGTTGAATCATATGATCAAAAATTCTTAACTTTTTATGATGATTATGATAGACGCAATCCTGTTACTTTAGATGCAGCCAAAGAAAAATGGATAAAAATACAGTAAGAAACTGTTTAACCCACCCCTTAACCAAAAACTAAGTAACAAAAATTAACTATTATAGCAATTTAATTAAGCAACATCATTAAATTAACCATATTATCACAGGAAGTACAAGAGTCCATCCTTTAAATAGTAGAAACAGCCGAGAGATTGATGAATTATAATAGCTTTAAGTTTGATTTTACTAATAGATGATAATTATTTTACGTTATTATTTCTCAATCAATATGTCAAAAATATATTAAAATTTTAATAACAGACTCAGTATGAATTGCTAAATCTCGAAAACATATAATAAAATTTCTGATGTTTTCTCTTAAGTTCAAGTTAAGAAGGCTGTTGAAGGATTAAACACATATAGGCAAAGAATATAATTAATTGATCATATAATTGATAGAAGAGAATAAATTGCAAAATCTGAAGATATCGCTAAAATGTAAAAATATTAACACGTTTTCAAAAAAATGTTAAATAAATTTAAGAAGAAGAAAAGTGATTAAGAATAATATAGAAAATAAGAGCGATTGGAAATGGTAATGTAACTACTGAGCGGAGAAAAGAATAAAAAGTAAGAAATCTAGAAAGAGTCTAGAGTAATTCTTAGATATTGTCAGATAGGCAATAAGATTCATCCAACAATAAATAATAGCGGTGTTACACAATCTACAAAGACTTAAGATGAAAAAAAATAAGAAAATTCATAACTTAAATCAAGAAAAATATCCAGATTTTTTACTGAAAAGGATCCCCTTCAAATAGAATCATAAATAGAGAGAGAAGTATGTTTATTTTTAGAGAAAAATAAAGAATTAAATTATTTGTAAAAGGAAAGATTCTTAAGACTCACAGATGATAATAAGAAATTTCAATATTTAGAAAATTAAATTAAAAAACAATTAAAATAATAGGAATATCAATAACAATAAACAGCTGTCAAAGTAATTTAATATTTTATAGTAGTAATAATATAAAGTTTAGGATTTATTCCATAAAAATTATTTCAAAGGAACTTCAATGAAAATAATGAAGACAAAAAAGGCACATCCTTTGCAAATAGCAAACAATCAATGTTAAACTGAAAGATAAAAATATTAATAGTAAGAATCATTTGCCTCCTATGCAGAATATAAATTAAACTAATTATATACAGATTCTATAGATGCTCAGAAATCTGTAAAATGTAAACATCAATCTTGTCCTAATAGACTGCGTTAATCGTATTTGATTAGCACTAATGTTGATATAATTGATGTTTCTAATTAAAAACTCTTTTAAACAAGAAAATTATAAAAATGAATTATCTATGTTATATATATATTTAAGTTCGATGATAATTATATATTATCAATTAAATGATATCAAAATAGATGATTATATAAATGCTCATAATATTGAAGGTATAAATTTATTTAATCATTAAAAATATAATAATGAATTGATACAAGAAAAATAATAAACCTACATCTGAAAATTAATTTTGTTAAGCTCTCTAGTTTGCAGATGAGGCTATTTAACATAACTTTATCAAGAAAAAAAAAACATCAACATTTTTTGTGTCATAAGAGGGAAAACAAAAGAAGGATTAAAAGAACTTTGGAACAACAAAGATTTTCGAATAAGAAAGGTATTTCTTGCGATGAAATCATTGATTATTCCAAATGAGTAAAAATTGGATTGTTTGTAGCATAAAAATACTTATTTCTCTTTCTTAGTGTTTCTGCAAATAAATTCAAAAGTTCTATTTACAGAGTAAATGTATTTAATAAAATTAAAATACAAAAGAGTCATATTCTCTTAATATTACTTAAAAAATAATTACATAAGTTTCCAAGTCTTGAAAAATCAACATTCTATTGAAGTTTAGAATTTCAAACTATTCCTTCCAAATCAGATTAGAATATATCTATAAAGGAAATTTGTTTTTTAGTTGATTATTGAGTTTAAACTTGATAGATTTTATTTTACTACATTGTAGAAAGGTGAAAATAATAAGTTAAGATAGATAAAAATTTATTAAATTTTTAGATCCTAAATTTATTACTTTCAAATTTAAATACAATCAAATTTATAAACTATATTTTCAACTTAGCGAGAAATACAATAAATACAACTTTAAATAGCATATGAGATTATGTCTTTTAATTTCAGCTAGATTATATAGAATTTCATGTTCATTAAAAAATCTACAAAATTTAGATAATTGCTTTGAAGCTCTAAATCAATAAAAAAGAAATAAAAAATTTTCATATTTTAATTTGGTCTTAATTCTTAAGATATGTGAAATGGATAGAAAATAAAATGATATTTATTATATGCTTCATCTTAAGCTCACAGGTTATAGTATTAAGATATGGGAATTATATTGGCTTAAATGGGAGCTTTTATTTTAAAAAAGGATTAAAAAAATGACACAAAAAGATTTTATGAAATTATTTTTCAGTTGCAGGACTTAGAATAATTATTTATTGAAATTAGAATTAATAGAATATGAAAAGAATTGTGCATTAAACTAATTGAAAGTTGAATTTCGATGGATATAAAAATAGATTAGAATATATATGTTTGTGAATCAAAATAGATGGATAGAAACATTTTAGATTGGAATAGAGAATATGTTTTAAAAAAGTGATAACTAGAGAAAATTAAATGAGTTAAAAGAATAAAAGATATTTGCAAAGGATCTTAAGGGATGAGTTGATTAATATTATGATGTATGATAATGGATCATTCATTTAACACGTTTAGAACAAAATGTTTTGACTGGATTATAAATAGGTCCTGGAGAATGAGCATCTTCTTTTTACAGTTTTTCATCAATCCAACTAATTTTAGCTGATTTTCCAATAGTTGCATTTGGTGAAGTTTCTCTTATATCTAGAATTTTGAGTTAGATTAATACGTTTTTCAGCTACTTCAGTTCTATATCTTCCTACACCAGGAGAACTTGTTGTTAAACTATTATCTAATTATCTTTTAGCTTTATTGAATGTAGTTGGTGATCCTCTCATTTGGATTGACATTTCACTCAAAGGAATAGTTTATTATTATTTTATAGTTGAAATTTTGCTAGGGGATCTACTGACATATGATTAACTCATTGTCATTTTTTTAAGATCTGGTTCTGACTATCTGTCAATTTTTCTTGATACTGGAGATATGATTTCTGATTTATTATTATTGAGTTAAAGTGTTTCATCTTATATCAAATTCATTGAATTAACTATTTGATTCCAAACGTTGTTTGATGTAGCAGTTAAAATTAAATCGAAATTACTCTTAAATATTTGAATATTTCGATTTAATTATATTGAGTATTCTACTTTTTATCCCTGCTTTTACATCGCACTAATCACTTCTTTTAGTCCTTTTAGAAAAATGCAAAAATTATATTACTTTGAGATGCAAAGTTTATTTCATTTGTGAAGACCTCTTCAAAAAATGTTACTAATTAAGTTAGATAGCCTCGCTTTTGAACAGTCTCAAAAATGTGATTTATGTCTGTGTACCTTCCTATTTCAGTTTGAATTGAAGAATTCATTTAATTAAATTTAATTATATATATTAGGAATGCTTCTATGCACATATAATAAATTTTTGAAAAAATTAAAAAAAATCAAAATCTTTTTGCATGACTCAAGGAAAGAATAAGAAATTAGGAAAGAAGAAGGGATAAAAGAAGACCATTGACCCATTAGCTAGAAAGGAATGGTTTGAATTAACTGCCCCTGTACCCTTCAGCGCTGGTGGATTTGGCTATACTTGCATTAATAAATCTGCAGGAACAGGTAGTTAATTATAATAAACCTTTTAGTGGTCGCAACTGAAGCTATCAAAGGACGTGTAGTTGAGGCATCCTTAGCTGATCTTCAAGGATAATCAGATTAAATGGCATGGAGAAAAGTTAAATTAGTTATCGATGATGTTGAAGGTACAAGATGCAGAACTTCTTTCTATGGCCTTGATTCAACTAAGGATAAGATCTTTGGAATGATTAAAAAGCGTTAAACTTTAATTGAGGTACTATAAATTTAAAATTCTTCAATTAGACTTAAGTTGAAGCCAGATCATCAGACGGATATATTTTGAGAATCTTTATGATTGCATTTACCAAGAGCATTAAAAACCAATAAAGAAAAACAACTTATGCTTAAAGAAGTCAAATCAAAGATATCAGAAAAAAGATTGTTGAAATTGTCCTTAAGGAAGTATCTAAGAAAAGCATCACCTAATTACTTAATTTTTTCAATTAAGAAGCTCTGTCAAAAGAAATCTTAAAAGCCACAAGAGCTATCTTCCCACTTTAAAATATTACATTAAGAAAAGTGAAGTTGGTAAAGAGACCTAAGGTTGATGGTAATGCTGTTGGTTTAATTGTTAGCTTAAAAATTGAGAGAATTCTATGATGATTCCCAAAGATCCAAGGGCACAGTTAGAAGACATGGTTAAGCTGAAGACTAAAGTGCTTTAAATCTTATCAAACAAGGATAAATTGATAAGGAATAAACCAAATAAGAATCAGAATGATGAATTTATTACAGTATAAACAAAATAGTACATATATTAGTAAAACAATATATATATATATTACATTTAATATCTTGCTTGATAGTGTATTTCAAATATAAAGATTTTTTTTTAATTTAATTTGAGGAAATAAGATGTCTTAATAGGCTTAAAAGGGAGGAAAAAGTGCATAGACTAAAACTGATGCAAAGCCATAAACAGGTGCATAAGGAAAAGTTGCAAAACCATAAGAAACAAAGGAGAATGTTATGAGAAAAATAAGAATTGAAAAATTGATGGTTCATATTTGTGCAGGTGAATCAGGTGATAAATTGACTAAGGCTGCTAAAGTGTTAGAAGATCTTACAGGATAGAAACCTGTATTTGGAAAAGCAAGATATACAGTGAGATCATTTGGTATAAGAAGAAATGAAAAAATTTCTGTCTTTTGCACCATTAGAGGAGATTAAGCTAGAGACATTCTCGTTAGAGGTTTAAGAGTGAAAGAAATGGAATTAAAGAAGAGAAACTTTTCTGATTCAGGAAACTTTGGTTTTGGTATTTAAGAACATATTGATTTGGGATTAAAGTATGATCCATATACAGGTAATATAAATATATATATATTTAATTAATAGGTATATTTGGTATGGATTTCTATGTTGTGTTGTCAAGACCAGGATTGAGAGTAGCTTAAAGAAAATCAAGAAATTCAAGATTGGGCACATAATAAAGAGTGACTAAAAAAGAAGCTGTAGAATGGTTTAAATAAACATTTGAAGGAAACGTTTATTGATACAATACAATATTACATTAAATACATATAAAAAATATAATTATTATTTTAATATGGGTTGTGGATCGTCGTAACCAGCAGCTGCTGAACCTGATTAGATATCAAAATCTTTAAGAAGTGCTAATACTTCTGAAATAGAAGACTTGATTGGCAAAAAAATACCTAAAGTATAATGTAGATTATATTGGTAAGTTACTAATATAAGCTGAAATGAAACATCGTTTTACTGCTGATGAAGAGGCAATTAAAAAGTATTTGGAATATGTAAAAATGGTAGCGACTTAATTTAAATGTAATCTCCATAAGAAAATGAGAATGTTGTGGCAAGAGCTTAAAAAAAAGTGTAAAAGAAATATAGGGGGGGAGAAGATGTTGAAGGTTAAATTATAGAAAATGTGAAGAGAGTTGAAAGAGAGATGCAATGTATAAAATTTATAATTTTAATAACTCAGAAAATGATGTAGATTTAATCAAAAAAAGCTTCAAAAGTCATTTTGTCTTTTTTAGTCTTCCAGAGGATTCGTTATAATAATTAATAGAAAATATGTTTTATTGTACAATAAAAGCAGGAGAATTTATATTTAAATAAGGGAATTAGGTTAAAATGATAATTGATATAAGTAGGCAAGTGCATATTTTGTTATTGAGAGAGGAGAGGTTTAAATTATTATAAATGATAATCCAATAAGAATTCTTTATTAAGGAGATTAATTTGGTGAAATAGCTTTGTTATATAATGCTACTAGATCAGCTTCAACAAAAGCTCTCAGTAATTGTGGATTTTGGAGTTTAGAAAGAGCTACTTTTAAGAAAACAATTGAGGAAATAACATTAAAAGAATATGATGAAAATAGAAGATTTATAGATTAAGTATGAATAGATTTTGTATTAGGTTAATTTCTTTTCATTTATGACATCTGAATAAAGAGATATGATAGGACATGCATTGATTACAACAAAGTTTAATCCAGGATAAAATATAGTTAATGAAGGAGATTAAGCAGATTCATTTTATGTTATAAAAAGTGGTTAAGTATAAATATTGAAAGGAGATAAATTAATAAGGAAAATGGGTGCAAAAGATAGTTTTGGGTAAATTCTAATTTTTATTTATTTATAGAGAATAAGCACTTTATGAGAAATCAGTACGAGGTGCAACAGTAAAGGCAGAAACTGAAGTAAAATGTGTAGCTTTGGGTAGAGAGAATTTGACAAAGATTTTAGGAGATAAAATTTAACTAATAATTTTCAATAATATTATGAGATGGAGTTTTGAAAAAAGTGAGATTCTAAAATAATTAACTAAAATATAATTGGAAAAGATTTCATAAAAAGCAAGAATAGAGAATTTTAAAAAAGGTTAAGTGATTTTTGAATCAAATAAACCTTGTGATAAATTAGTTGTTGTTTTGGAAGGAGTCTTAATAAACTCAAAATAAGAATCAGTATCTAAAGGATCTTGTTTTGGAGATTAATTTTTAAAGAAAGAACTTTATGGATCTTTAATAGAATCTGGTTTTGAAATGGTGGGAGATGGAGTATTGGCAACAATTACATATTAGGCTTTATTTAAGATTTTTGGAGGAGATTTAGAAACTGCTTTGAAGAAGAATGAAAATTCACATGAAAAGAAAATATAATAAATAGGTAAAAGAGAAGATGCTTCTCATATATTTGTAGAAGATTTAGTATATATAAAAAAATTAGGTGAAGGACAATTTGGTAGTGTATATCTAGTCAAACATAAAGAATTAAATAAAGTATTTGCTTTGAAAAGTGTAAGTAAAGCATCTGTTATTGAATAAAATCTAGAGAAACATATTACATAAGAGAAAAAAGTATTAGAATAGATAAACTTTCCATTTATTATGGGATTTTTTAGAACATTCAAAGATGATATGTCAATATATTTTTTAGTTGATTTTATCAGAGGAATGGAGTTATTTGATGTAATAAGAGATATAGGATTATTATCAAAACCAGAGACATAATTTTACATTGGTACAATGATTCTTTGTATAGAATATTTAAATTCTAAAGGTATTGTGTATAGAGATTTAAAACCAGAGAATATTATGGTAAATTATTAAGGTTTTATGTATTTAATTGATTTGGGTACAGCAAAACCTCTTTAAAAATCCAAGGCATGTCGTACATATACAATTATTGGAACACCACATTATATGGCTCCAGAAATAATGGCAGGAAAAGGTTACACTTTTAGTGTAGATCTTTGGAGTATTGGAATTTGTATGTATGAATTTATGTGTGGAGGAGTACCATTTGGAGAAGAATTAGAAGATCCTTATCAAATTTATGAAGAAATTATGAATACTTAAATTAAGTATCCTACATTTTTAAAAGATAAATATGCTAGAAAGTTTATGGAACAATTAATGAATAGATAACCAGAAACAAGATTAGGAGCATCTTATTCAGCTTTAAAAGCTCATCCATGGTTTGATGATTTTGATTTCGATAAACTCTTTAGTAGAGAACTTAAACCTCCTGTAAATTATTTAATCTTAATTTCAGTATATACCTAAATCAGAAAATATGGTTTCTGAAAATGATATTTAAAAGAGATTCAATCAAAATAAATTAGTTGTTTAAGAAATCAAACATGAACAAAATAATCAAAAAATCAAATATAATAAATAGCTTGCTAAAGATCCTAATTGGGATAAAGAATTTTGAATAAATGTAAATTTATGAATTTAAGAATCAAACAAATTTCTTATCTCTTTAAATAGATCTTTACTTCTAATATAATATTATTTCATATTAATTATTATATTAAATGTCATTATTGTCAAAATTTACATCCATCTTTAGCTCTAGTTATAATATATAGACCTCCAATACACCATTAAATTAATAATTACAAGAAGTACTTTCATAAATACTTAAAACAAATGCTAAAATGGATCTAAAATAAAAGGCAGAACTTCTTGCACAATTTCTATTGGAAAAAGAAGGTAATTTTAAAATTTACAATTTTAGAACATATTGACTATTTGTTTTCTTTTTTATAAACTACTTCTAAAGATCTCAATCCTATATCAGTTGTTCATTTACTATTAGTAATCCATTAATAATTTTAATTTAATGAATTAATTTAAGAAGTAGCTATTAAATTAAGAGAAACTAAAATGCCATGGATTCAATTAGAAAAACATGAATGGTAGTCTATTAAAACAGAACCTGATTTACCAAAAAAATAATAATCTTAAATTATACTCACAGAATTTGAAGATTCTACTCGTCCAGCTGCTATATATGTTCAATTATGTTATGTTTATTTATAAAAATTGGCAGCTAATATAGATTTATATAGAGCTGTCTCAAAATTTACATATCCTTATGTTAGTGAGAAAGATTAAATTGAACCTAAGCTAATGTTTTTATGGCATTATAAAATTTAAAATTTAATAAATTCAGGCTTAATTTTATTGTAATATGATTAAAATCTAATTGAAATTCAAACTGCTCTCTATAAAGATGTTTGGAAATTTTAAAAATTTATTTGTATTGAAATAGAAAAAATTATTGATTAATATGTGACCTTACCTAGTTGTGATACACTTTCTCTTTATGAAATATATCAAGAAAGTACAAAACATTATGAAGTATTGTTAAAGTTTCATTAATTTGCATCAACAACTACAGATATACCTAGAGAATGCCATTTTAATAATGTTAATTTATAAGAATTTTTGGGTTTTGTTTCTAAATTAAAATTATTAAATTTACCTAACTTTAAAAAGAAAATTAAAGTTCCTAATAAAGGAGATCCAGGAATGGGTATTCCAACTCGAAATCCTAAAGTAAATATATAATTTTATATATAGGTCAGACATTTAAAACATTAAAGCAATTAATTTCTAGTAAATGATTCTGATAGTAGTGATTCTGAAGATGTAGCAGATATAAATCCTTAAATAAATTAAAAAATTAAAAATAAAAATGGCCATTTAAGAGGTGAAAGTACTTTCCAATAAAAATATAAATGATTGATAAATCGTGTAATTTTAATTTATAGATTAAAAGTGTAATAGTGTTAGTAATTTTAATTAATTTATATAATATCTCTCAAAATATGCACTCTATTCTCAAGTACAGTTCCTAAATATCTTATACTTAAAGATTATAAACTAATTTAACAGATTTGTTGATAATAAAAGTGTATTCATGTATAAGAAAGAATCAATGAGTATGAGAAATTAACACTATATTTGATTGGATGAAAAATACATAATTTGAATATAATAACCGCGAATATATTGGCGCGTGATTATAATATTAAAATTAATGGATATTGCTGTTTGCTAAAATCCCAATCACGATAATTAACGTCTTAAATATATATGTGTAGATCCAAACTGTTAAGTTTAGAAAAAAATAGGTATTAATTCTTATACTATAATTTAGGTTGTGCTGATTGTTTTCTTGATGATCATATTACTCATATTAGAAAAACAACTACTCAATTTAAAGAGTAAGTAAGCTAATCTATTGAAACAATTTCTTAAATTGAATTCGAAAAAATGTATTGCTCTCCGTAAAAGGATTTGGATAGTAGAATCGATTTTGAATTAGAAAATTGCATTGATTGTATTAAATCCAAATTTTCATCTATTAAAAGTGATTTAAAATCATAAATTGATAGTGANATAAAGATGTTTGGAAATTTTAAAAATTTATTTGTATTGAAATAGAAAAAATTATTGATTAATATGTGACCTTACCTAGTTGTGATACACTTTCTCTTTATGAAATATATCAAGAAAGTACAAAACATTATGAAGTATTGTTAAAGTTTCATTAATTTGCATCAACAACTACAGATATACCTAGAGAATGCCATTTTAATAATGTTAATTTATAAGAATTTTTGGGTTTTGTTTCTAAATTAAAATTATTAAATTTACCTAACTTTAAAAAGAAAATTAAAGTTCCTAATAAAGGAGATCCAGGAATGGGTATTCCAACTCGAAATCCTAAAGTAAATATATAATTTTATATATAGGTCAGACATTTAAAACATTAAAGCAATTAATTTCTAGTAAATGATTCTGATAGTAGTGATTCTGAAGATGTAGCAGATATAAATCCTTAAATAAATTAAAAAATTAAAAATAAAAATGGCCATTTAAGAGGTGAAAGTACTTTCCAATAAAAATATAAATGATTGATAAATCGTGTAATTTTAATTTATAGATTAAAAGTGTAATAGTGTTAGTAATTTTAATTAATTTATATAATATCTCTCAAAATATGCACTCTATTCTCAAGTACAGTTCCTAAATATCTTATACTTAAAGATTATAAACTAATTTAACAGATTTGTTGATAATAAAAGTGTATTCATGTATAAGAAAGAATCAATGAGTATGAGAAATTAACACTATATTTGATTGGATGAAAAATACATAATTTGAATATAATAACCGCGAATATATTGGCGCGTGATTATAATATTAAAATTAATGGATATTGCTGTTTGCTAAAATCCCAATCACGATAATTAACGTCTTAAATATATATGTGTAGATCCAAACTGTTAAGTTTAGAAAAAAATAGGTATTAATTCTTATACTATAATTTAGGTTGTGCTGATTGTTTTCTTGATGATCATATTACTCATATTAGAAAAACAACTACTCAATTTAAAGAGTAAGTAAGCTAATCTATTGAAACAATTTCTTAAATTGAATTCGAAAAAATGTATTGCTCTCCGTAAAAGGATTTGGATAGTAGAATCGATTTTGAATTAGAAAATTGCATTGATTGTATTAAATCCAAATTTTCATCTATTAAAAGTGATTTAAAATCATAAATTGATAGTGATATGTAAAAAGTTTAAGAGAACTGTTCTTAATTCCAATAAAATATGAATAATGAATTAGATTCATTCAAAATCACTATTAAAAATGAATTACCTTCTTTGAATCATAATGAAATTAATTAATTGGTTAAATTTTATTAAGAGGCTCCTAAAATTCACAAACATTATTCTAAAGCAGCTGAACTCATACAAGATGAAAAATCAAGAGTAAAATAAAAAAAATAAAAATACTTAATAAAAATGAAAAGTATAATGCAAATATTACTAAAGGAGTTTAATGAATTAATGACATCAAAGAATGTATAATTTGATGATGGTAATGATTATGATACTCCTTAAAAATAAACAATGTCTCCTAATAAAATGATAAATCTTGTAGAAACAGCACGTTCTTCAAGACGTTTTCCTATGTCTTAATAATAAAAAAAATATTTTTTAGCTGCAGTGACAAAAAAGCTAGATTGATTAATTTGTTTGTTATATTTATATATATATATATTCATTTATTTTATGCTTTTTTATAATCTTCTTTACATCCAAAAATTATTTTTTTGAAATCATTTAAATATAAAGATATTATTTTTAGTTTTTACATAGCTTATTAACTTTTAACTTCATAATTATCTTCTTCTGTTTCTTCATTCTCATCTTTATTTTATTATTTTTTATTCTCTTCTTTTTTTACTTTTTTTTCATCTTTTTTATTATTTTCTTATTTTGTTTCTTCTAATTCATGTTTAATTTTTTAAGTTCCTTCTTAACATCTATTAAATAAATTATCAATAGCCATTAAAATTCTTCCTAAACTTAAATTTTTTGAAGAAGCTTCATTAGCTGATGCTTCAACTAATTATTGAAGTTAATTTCTTTCTGATATTTTTTCTTCTAATTTTTTTTATAATTCTTTAATATCATTATTCAATTATAAAATTTCATGATTTTTATCTTTTTCATATTATGTAGATTCGTATTTTAATTTTTCATATTCTTTTTCCATGAATTAATGTTCTTCCACTAATTTAGTATTTTAACTTGATAATGTACTATGTCTTTCTAAAATTGATGACATATCATGATATTACTCTGGATATTATTTAGCAACACTATCTAAATATTCTTCGTATTTTTTCATAGAGGTAACTGTTTTGATATAAACCTACACATACCCTTTTTCTCAAGTCTCTATTATTTCTTTTACAACTCCTATAGTTGACCATTCAAATCTGATATTTCTTTTTCTTTTTACATTTTTTATTTTTTCTCTTCTTCTAATCTACCTTCAGCTCTTTTTTTTTTGGCTTCATTGTCTTGTAAAAATTTGCAAAACTTTATCAATGATTCTTAAATTTCCATATCCTTTGTACGAATCTTCTCTTCCTCTTATTTAAACTTGTCTTCTTACCTAAATCTATTTTTTATAATCACTTTTTAAATTCTTCTCTTTAAGCTTCAAAAGCCTCATGTACTTCATACATTTTTCTTCTTTTTTCTAATAATTTAGTAGCAGGACTAACAGTATCATATTATAAATGATTAGGCAATTTCCTTTTATCTTATTTATTCATCTTAATAATAATTAATTTATATATATTATAAAAAATAATAGATAATAATTGTTAAACAATAAATTAATTAAAATAAATAATATCATATTATATTGAAGTTATTGAATATATTTATTATTATTATATGTTAATTTATAAGAAAGCAACTCCTTAGGGTATAAAATGATGAAATATTTAGAACTTCAAAAGTATAGAGATGATTAGGTAAAAAATTGGAAAAAGGAGAAGGATTTATAGAGATTAACAGAAAGCTAAGTCAATTAAATGATGGATTTATTTCTTTTGTTTGCTAGTCAACGTACATTTACAATAAGAGTATGATGTATTTAATGATATGCAGACAAAAGATGTAGAAGCCTAAAATACTTTATTGAGAGTGAATGAAGAATCAACTTTATTTTAGAATGTATTATCAAAAATGATTCTCATTGATGATGATTTAAATTTTATTAGCTTTTTAAAACTCTATTTATAATGCATTGTATTATTAAGATGTATATTATTATATAGGGTGAAGCTTAATAAGAAGAATAATTATAGTAATTATTTACAACAATGAGTTAAAAAGGGTCAATCAATTTAGAAGACTTAAAGAGACTAGCTAAAGAGTTAGATCACTATCATCTTAAAGATGAAGACTTAAGTGAAATATTGAAAGTGACTTCTGCTAATGGGCAAGAAATTACATAAGAAGATTTTATAAGATTTTATACACAGATAGTGAAAAGTTAAAGATAATTATGATAAAAATTATATATAGGTTTAGTACATAATAAATTAACTATTACACTATTCTTGAACTCAATGCAACATGTACCTAAAAACAGATTAAACAAAACTATCTGAAATTAGCTAAAATCTATCATCCAGATGTTTATAAGGGAAATGATTCAAATAGGTATCGATTTAAAAATAATTTCTAGATTCAAACTTATTCAGGAAGCTTATAATACACTTAAGACTCCAGAAAAAAGAAAATCATATGATTAAACCATTTTTAAGGAGAGAGCATTTGCAAATCAAGAAAGATCTTAAAATGATGAATCTGAAGAAAATACATAGAAGAATGAATATACAGCTAAACAAACTAAAGATGGAATCAATTTTACATTTACTAAAAAAGAATACAAAGAAGCAACTGAAGATAAGACTGTTCAAGATGAATTTAAAAAATTTATGTAAGAACCACTTAAAATTAATCCAGAAGAAGTTAAAGTTTATGAAAATATTGTTGCTAGATAAATGACTAAAGAACATAAAGCTTAAGATGAATTCATTATTGCTAAAGAAAATAAATGGAAAATCTTCTTTTTCAAAGCTCATCAAATTGGTTATACTTAACAAGTTAAACAATATATTTAAGGTATTAATTAATAGTGGTAATTAAAAAAAAATGATACTGAAGAAATGAGGCAATTAAAAAGATAAATGTAAAAACGTATTTCTAATGTAAATCATTTTATATTATTAATATTAGACTATTTTCTTCATTTTTATTGGACTCTCTCTACCTTTCTTTTATTCTGCTTTTGCAAGAAGGCAAGAAATTGAAAAAGATTTTAAAGAAGACTTAGATTTTCTTTATAAAGTAGCCGATCAAATGGATTATTTAGAAATATCAAGCAGATTTGTCTATTGAGATCTATTTTTAAATTATATAATATAATAAAAAAAAAGATATTAATTAAATTAATTTTTTGATAAAAAATGTCTAATTAAGTTAATTTTGGAGAAGGAAAAATTAATGACAATTATCCATCTGCTATAAAGACAATGTTAGAATAAGGAAAGGATCCAAAAGAATTATTAATTTAATATTGCAGACCATAATGTAAATGGTATGATGATAAATATGACAGATGTGTAAAAGCATTCTTATCATTGAAAAATGCTGATCCTGAGAAGAATTGTGTATATTTAACATAAATTCATTAAAATAGATGTATCCATATAGAGATTTGGTGACATGTGTTGAAGCATGTGTTCAACCCAAAATATAGCATGCACTCAGAGGTAACGAACACGGTTTCATATTCCATTGAAATAATATGATCTATTATAAAAATAATCATTATTAAAAAACTTTAGAGTTTTTGGGTTCAATAAAAATATTAGCTTTATAAATCTATTCAAAATAAAATACAAAAAAGTTAAGAGACTGTGTAATTAACAATTAATTCATTTAATCTCTTTTTATATACTATATAAGAAAGACACATTAATGAATTATAAGGACTATTGGTAATGTGATTGAAAAAGTAAAATTAGTTTTAATTTAGTCAATTTACAAATTTATACTCATATCATTGTAATAATTAATACAAATACAACTTATAAAATTACTAAACCAATTATAACATTCTTGAAATAGCTAAAGAATGTCATAGCCATTTAAACATATTTAAGAATACTCAAAATAAACTAATTGCTTTCAATCAATTATCTTAAAATTGATGACAATTCTTCATTATTTACTAAATAATATATGTAATCATTATTATCTAACTTTTTTTAGTTGATTAATAATGAATAATAAGTAATATTAATTAAGCAGTAATCCATATTTATTTAAGGCAAGCTTTTGAACCTTTATAATATTTAATAGTATCTGATAATTAAAATAATGCTGTGATAAAAGAAATTATATTAGCAATATAAATAGTTCCTTTATTATATTCAATTTTTGACTTTTATTTATTTAATTACTTTATATTAGCTTTCTTAAATTTCTGCTTATTCCATCTATTGAGCTTCCTTTAAATCCTGTTCTATCATTCTTGACTCTCTATTTTTTGTCTTCTCTTTTCAGACATTTAATCCATCAAATATTATTTAATTAATAAAGAATGTCATCTAAAAACTATAAGTTAAGACATTAGAAAATTCCAAATACAACAAGATATTAAGATGATCATTTACCAATCAATAATAAATATTTTGTTCGATTGACATAAGAATCAACTAGAGTTTAAGATTTAATTGAAAAGGACAAATAAATCCCACATGTATCAATGATTGATAGATTTTGGGGTTATAAAACATAAAGATTACATGAACATGAACCTGTTGTACATTAAGAAGAAAAACACGTTTAGTTGCCTTTGGAAGTTATTCCTTAAGAATAAAAATAAGAGATTTTACCTTAAATTGAATAAAAAACTGAAAGCTAATTGAAGAAAACCATTAGCTTAAAACAATTTAAGGAAAGCTTGCTTTATGATGAAAGAACGAGTTCAATACCTAAAACTACAATTTAGAATCATATAATTGAAGATTTAATAAGAGATAGCAATGTTTTCTTAAAGAAGCCTGAATTGTTAGATTAAGTACAAAGTTTGAAGAGATTAAAAGTATTAAAGAAGTATGAAGCTAATCAGTAATAATATTATTTTCATATATAGTTAAAATTTACCTGGTGTTGGTAAATTACCATATATAATCAATGATTATCATTCGAAGAGTACAAATCCAGGATACTCAAGAAATAACAAAGGAAATTTTTTTACAAGATGAAGAAATATAAAGATATTTTTAAATTAAAAATTAAATTACATGAGTCGACCATCAGCATCAAGTACAAATAATAATTGAAGTTCAAGATCACGTTTATGTTAAGGAAGTGAAAGAATTATAGGATGCTTTAAATTAGAATAAAATTGAATCAAAAAGAGATGCAATTAGAAAAGTTTTAATGGAATTTAAAATTTCTAGATAATTGATGCTATGACTAGAGTTAAAGATGTCAAATATGCTTTTTCCTAATATTGCTAAAAATATGGAAATAGTCAATTTAGAACTTAAAAAATTAGTCTATTTGTATATTATCAATTATGCAAAAATTATGCCTGATTTTGCTATGATGGTTATTAATAGTTTTAGAAAAGATGCTCTAAGAATTTATTAAAGTAAATAATAATTAAAATTTCATAGGATGAAGATTCCTATGTTAGAAAAACAGGAGCAATTTGTATTTCAAAATTATTTGACTTATCATCATTAGGACTATTAAAACTCTTAGAATATTTACTTAATGATGATAATGCTATGATTGTAGCAAATGCTTTATGCTTATTGTTTAAGAATCTAAAATAACAACACTACTTTAATTAAATACATATACTATTTAAAAAATATTAAAAGCCTATTGAATGGGGTTGATAAATTAGTAGAAAATATTTGTAATCTTAGTTCTGTATATCCAAAAAAATTAAGAGATGTTTGGAATTAAAAAATAAGTGATAAAGCAGATGAAATATATGATGGAAAAAAATTAATGGATGGAATATCAGAAGATTATAGTAATTAATAATCTGGTACTTAATCCAATATTTATGATGGTAATTATAAAATCTCATCTTAAATGCTTTCATAAATTAATAAATAATCACAAATCTAATAAATATCATTAAAATAGATTTATTGGATTTAGATGATTCTTAATAATAATAATAATAATAATATATTATAACCTGATTCTATTGATATCTCTTATCCTTCAATCTTACCTGAATAAAGTTTTATGACATAAATTTTTATAAATAAAAACAGTCCTGTTTGTCAGGATGTTCCTCAAATGTCTTACAAAATATAAGTTGAATTAAGTTCAGCTTAAAATTTTGCCAGAAATCTTTTAAATATAATTTGATTATCAAAAAGTAAAATATATATATTTAAATTATTAGAAGAGAGAAAAAATTGTAAAAAACTATTTATATTTGATAAGATTAAGATTAAGAAAGTAGAAAGAGGAGTAGAATAATTATCTTACTCTATTGCATTAGTTAATTGAATGCCGATCTTAGTTAATGTTATTCATACTTCAAATGCAATAAATTTATAATCATAAGCTCCTCATCCAATATTCATGCCGTTAATTTATTAAGCATTAGAGTTGATATTAATATTAAATTGATAAACAATAAAATCATATTAATTTTGATTATATTTTACACAAAATTTATGATTTTAGCTCTTCTCTCTCTAAAAAATCTTTTTCCCATTAATCAAGTTACACCATCTCTTAAAAATCATATCCTTAAACTGACAAATTAATTGATTTCAAATTTAATTAATTTAATTATTCAAATAATTGTTTACATTTACTAAATTAACTAAAATTAGCCATAATCTAATTCTTTATATTGAACCTCTTCTGAAAATCAGGATAATAGTTTTGAATTAATTTAAATTTATGGATTTATGTTTAGATAAATGGAATAATGTCTCTAAAATTTTAGTTTGCAATTTATTTAATTTTTTTAAAAAACTCAATTCTTTCTTCATAACTAATCATCCATTAATTAAATAATTCAATAATTTCTTAAAGCATCATTTTGACTTAGTGATATTCAGGAAATTCTAATAAAATAAATAAACTATATTACCAACATAATCAACAATAAAATCATTCATAATGTTAATCTATATGCCTAAATATTTTGTTTAAAGTTTCTAATCTTAATTTTAACTTTCTATAAATTGTTATCTTCGCTATTTCATTTATTTATTTTTAGTATTATCAAGATCATTTTCCTTAAATAAACTGTTATAAGTCATAAATTAATCTTTTTAGATAGGAATTTCATCATATTCTTTAATTATTGTATCTATTCTATTCATTTATCTTTAATTATTTTCTTATTCAAAGTATTAAGGTTTTGATATTTCTATATGCCCTTTTTATTACTTAAAACCTTTATCTAACTAATTTTAGTATTATGAACTTTATTTATTTTTAGAATTCTTTAAGGTTTTTGAATTATTTTATTCATTTTATTCAGCTTTTTTTATATTTTAATTCTTATTTTTCTTAAAATTAACTTAAGTTTATTATGATGATTCTTATGATTCTTCTTCTGTAATTTATTTATGTTAATAAATAGGAGTTAAGCTTTAGTTTTAAATCGGATTTTATTTAGAAAACGGCATATCGATTTATTTATCTTAATCTTAACTATCAAAATTTTCTTACTAATTTCGTAACTTTTCTTAAGTAATTTAATCTTATAAAGCTATTTCTAATTATTGGGTAAGATCTTATATTTATTTTTGAAGTGATTTCATAATGTCTTAATATTTGTTCTCTTGATCTTTTAATAATTATCCATGCTTTTTTTATTCATCCTGCAATTTTTTAAGTTTAACATACTCAACTGATTTCAATCTTGCAATTTCACTTTTTTCTCTTTCTAATCTTTTTTTTTCTGCATCCACTCTTTACTTCCATTCTAATTCAAAATCTTTTTGTAATTAATTTTTTTCTTGTTCAAGCTTTTTCTTAAACTGCAATTTAATTTATTTTGATTTTTTTTAAACTTCTTGATTTATCTATTCTTCTAATTCCTCTTAAATTTTGAATCTTAATTGTTATTCTAATTAACCTCTTTAAAGAGAATCATCAAATTCTCTTATAACATCTTAAGCTAATTACTCTTTCTATTGTTCATAGTCAATTCTTATTTGCTTTTCTAATTCTGCTCTAATTTATTCTTCATTAAATTAAGTGAGAGAATCTATTTCTTCTTAAAATTTCATTTAATATTCAATCTCTAATTCTTAATTAACTTGTTCTCTAATTTCTTTTTCTATATCTGGAAGCAATTCACGTACTGTTTCTAAAATAATTTCGTTAGACATATTTTAAAAATATATTATATTATGGAATTAAAGTCTAACTTTGGTGGCAAATCTTCCCTAGATTCAGAAAGATCTGTAATAGACAAACTATAGAATGAATTGAAAATGATATATTTCAAAGTCACTCAACAGTTATTGAAAGAAGAAGATCAATCAATTATTATTAGTTTACTAGCAATCATTATTTAGTCATTTTAGGCCACATATATTATTTTCAATCGTCAAACATGGAAAGTATGGTAGACTTTTGAAGTAACTGAATGGCTTAATAAGATATTTGGGTAATTTTAAATAAGATAATAAGATATTCAATGTTAGTTCCTTACTTTGAAATGATATCATTTCCAGCACTTGTCACTATGATGTATGTTTGCTTAGGTTTAGTAGTATTTGCATTCATGCTAATTTTCCTCTTAAGCTATAGATTGAAGTCTTCCTTTTTGTGGCCAATCTAAATTTTAAGAATTTTAATTCAAATGTTCTTATCAGTTCTCTACATGCCAATAATGGATCTTTTTTTCTCTTTGATAGCTTGCACAACTGATGAGAACGGAAACTCTATTAATTAGATTTTTATTGAAATTAATTGTTGGTAAGGAGTTCATATAGTACATGGTATTGTTTCCATTTTGGCTATTGTAATATTCTATCTATTTTGTATCACATTTGCCATGATTTATTATGAACCAAGGTATTAACCAAAAGAGTCATTATCAAAGAAATCTGGAAGAAATTTAGCTGTTTTTCTTACTTACGAATTAATAATGATCATTTGTTATACATTTATGGTTGGAAGAACTTATGATTATTTGTTCCTTTTGTTTATTGTTGTAGGTAGTTTTACTATATTTTGGAAGATGCATGTTGAAAATCCACACAATAATGTATACATAGCCAAAATGTGGTCTATGCTTGTTTCTGTAAATATGTGGAGTGTCATTTTATTATGTTTTGCAAAGTTTCTTGAAGGGTAATTATTTTTTGGAACTGTCTATGCATGGCTATCAGGTTTACCGTTAATGATAATAGCAGTTCTAAAAACTGAAAAATTAAATTATGATTTGCTTTTAACTAATCTTAATAAGACTTCAGATCCACAAGAAGTACTTAATTTGACAGATCATTTAATCAAACTGTATTACATTTAAGATGCAGATTCTTAATTAATGGTTGATGGATTTTTAGAAATACATAGAGCAACATGTGCTAGAGAAGATTGTTATTTAAAATAGAAAAAATTACCAAATTAAAGATTAGCCAAACCTTTTTTTAAAGATTAAAATCTTTAAGAAAGAGATGTAGATTTAATAATGGTCTTAGGTTAAATTTATTTTAATTAAATTAAACGATTTCCAAATGAAATATCTTTAAGACTTCGATACTCGTTGTTTTTATTAGATGTTATGAAATAAAGATAATAAGCATTAAATGAAATAATATAAGCAGAACAATTATGTCCTAGTTTTGATAATGAATTTATTATTTTCAGATATAAACAAATTGTAGAATATGAAATGAATGCAGTATAGAATGAAAATATGGGAAATTTAGATGTAGCAACAGAATTAGCATTTTAAAATCATATGAGATCATTTTAAAATAAAATAGAAAGAGCAACATTAATGCATATGGACTTTTGGTCTTAATTATAAGAAGATTCACCTGATTTAGGTAAAATGAATGATATTGGTGCTAAAATTAATTTAGCTATTACTTAAGTTGAAGAATTATGGAATAAAATGTAAATAATGACTTAAAATTTACCTAAAGCTATGAGATTATATGGAAAATTTATTATTGAAGTATTATAAGACAAAGATTATGGAGAAGAATTATTAGAAAAAGCTAGAAAACTCTAATAGTAGAATAGTAAAAATAAGAATAAATAGATGATTTCAATATTAAGTGGAGAGGATTTAAGTTAAGAACCAAATGCTACAACTTTGGTTTCAACAGCTGCTGAAAAGTTTGCTCAAATAATAAATTTAAATTTATCATGTTGCAATTTATTTGGATATAGTAAATCTGAAATGATAAATAGAAAAGTCAATATTTTTATGCCAAATCTATATGCAAAATTTCATGATTCTTATGTCGAACACTTTCTTTAGACAAATGATAATAAAAATATAAATAAAGAGAGATTAATTTATATTAAATTGAAATCAAATTACATAGCTCCATGTTATTTAATGTTGAAAATCATTTAATCTTTAGATGATAATTTATAATTGGCTGCTTAATTTAGATTACCTAAAATCTTTAGACCCACTTGTTATATAATAGTAGATTAAGAAGAAATAATTGACTCTATATCTGCTTCTTGTATTCCTTTGTTAAATTTAGATTAAAAAGTCATATCTCATAAAAAGGTTACTTTGATGGACATATTTCCAAAATTTGAAGAAAATAGATCATAATATTTAACAAAAGTTGGAGGAATACTTCAAGTTTCTTCGAATATGAATTAATTTAGTAATCAAAATATAACAGAGGTAAAGGAATAAGAACAAACAGCATTTATGTGTTATATGACTGAAATAATGAATGATACAATAGATCAATTAGCTGGCTATGTTATTAGATTAGAATTATAAGGATAAGATTAAAGTATTAATTAAGAATTACTTGGAAATAATCATCCTTAAAAAATTGGATGCAATTTATAATTTAAATTCAATCCTTAACGAGCTATGTATAGTGGAGAATTTGTAGCAGATACAAATTCTTAAAGAGTAGATTAAACTATTTTATGGGATTAAAATGATTAATCATCTATGATTTCTTCAAATTAAGTAGATGTTTTAAATACAGGAAATTTAAGATCTTAAATAAAAACTGACAAGTCTGAAGAATAAAATTTAAACAATAAAATTAATTATGCAGAAGGAATTAAAATTTTGAGATTATTTGAAAATAGAATCTAAGATATAGATGATAAAGATGAAATAATGTCAGATGATGAAGAGATTGGTAAAAACAGTGTTTTTTAAAATAATTAAGAATAAGCTATAGAAAATGATTAATAAAGAAATGATCAAAATAATATTTTTAGATCAAGAAAAAATTTATTTTAAATTGTTAATAGTAATTAAACACCAAAAGTCATTACAAAATTAAATTGGACAGCTAATATACTTGCATTAATTTTAATTGTACTTTCTTTTGTTGATTTCTTTATCATATATTAATAATATGAGGATATTTATAATACAATTCTTTTAGTAAAAAATTAAAATTAAAGAAATGCTGAACTTTAAAGTATTACAACTAGTGTTTAAAATCTTCTAATGTTAAATTTGGATGTTTGGCAATTGAAAACAGATACTGATAAAATAACTTATGAATAATAATAGAAAAAAAAATTAAATACTTCAATTACAAATGTTGATAATTTAAATAAAGATTTAATGTTATCAAATGTTGCATTAAGTGATTCAATATTAGATATGATGAAAACAGATATTGTAATTATGAAATCAAGTGATGGTAATGAATAATTGTATGATTTATCTGAAGCAATTTAATAAATTATTAGTAAATCACTGATTATTAGAGAAAAAAATATAGTTAATATTAGTATGCAAGATATAGATGTAAATTTTGTACTTTATAATTCTCTTAATAGTTTAATCTATTAATTAAGATTATTCTCAACATTATATGCTAATGAATTGAGAATTAAAGCTTAAAATAATGGATAAAATTTCTTATTAATTTTAGGAGTTTCAGCTGCTGCAATAGGACTTGGATTGATTATTATGATAATAGCTATGATATCTGTAAGTAAAAATTAAGAGGAAGTTTTAGCAATGTTTTTAGATCTACCAGATAAAACTGTTAAATATTTATATAATAAAAGTGAGAGTTTCATTTCTAATTTATAATTGGGAGAAGATGATGAAATGATGTCAGAAATAGATGATGTAGAAAAAGAAGAGTAAGAAGAATTAAATAAAACTTTAAAGACAAAGAGAAAAAAGAAAAAGTTTAAAAACACCAATAAAGATTAAAGAAATTTTATTTTTGGTATTTTTTTTGTTTTGTTAATCACACAAGGTTATTTTGTGTTGAATTATATCTTAAGTAATACATTTCTAACTAATCTTGATTAAATGATACCTGAAATTAATGCAACGGCAAGAGCTGAAAGTTTTTATAGATTTGTAGATATAGCAGAGAGAGCCTTGTTTATAGATAGAAATTAAACAATAATGAATTAAGATGCTTATACAATGGTGAAAAACAATCTTAATAATCTTTATATTTTAGATTCATCTATGCATTAAGAACATTCATTAAATGTTGAAATTACAAATTAAATATATCTTGATGCTTTCAAAGAAACATTTATGTCTTAACCATGTACAATATTAGCAACAGTAATGAATGAAGTTAATGAATAAGAATGTTAAACATTTGCTGATGGTGCAATATATTAAGGAATGGCAGTTGGAGTAGCACGTTATTTTGAAAATTTAAGATATATTATGACAATATATGATTAATTTTGGAATAATTCTAAAGCTAATTTTACTTAACTTGCACGTGGATTTGCTACTTTCAAAAATATAACTAAAAACCAAGATAATACATCAAATTATGTTCTTAATCTAAATAATTTCAATCATACTAAAGAGGCAAGATAGATGTAAGATAATTATCATAGAGGAACCTTTCGTTTTTTAATTTAATAAATGATTGAAGGAATTTATTAAGATATGGAAAGTAGTAAGACTCAGCTTCTTGCTTTTTTCGTTGTTTTTGAAGTTCTTTTATTTGTGATTTATTTCATATTATGGTTACCATTAGTTGTAAAAATGACTAAAGACATTTGGAGAACCAGATCAATGATTATGATGATTCCTTTAAGAGTGATCTAAAATATTAGATCTATTAAAGCCTATATCAAAGACAATATACAAATTAATGAGATAGATGTGTGATTTTATATATCTAATATCTATATTATTTAAAAAAAATGGAGGTAAAGTCTAATTATGGTCAGACAAGACCATCATTAGAAAATGAAAACCTTTTGGAACGTTTACAAACAGAACTTAAGATCATAATATTTCGAGTCTTCTTTTAAATGCTTAAAGATGAAGATTAATCCATTCTTTTTGCTGCTTTACTACAAACTATTATGTTCTTGTAATACTTGTCATTTATATTTCATCGATAATTGTATTTAGTTTGGAAAAATCAATAAGTCTCTTATTAATTATACAAGCTTTTTGGCTATCTTATGCTGACTCCTTATTTTGAAATGTTGGACTTTTCTAGTTTCACATCAATGATGTATGCATTAATAGGAATTATACTAATTGCTGTTATGATATTATTGCTCATTGGTTACAATAACACAACTAAACTTAATGTAGCAGTATCATGGCCAGTTTTTGTATTAAAATAGTTATTAACACTGTTCTCTACTATATTGTACCTCCCTATTCTAAATCTATTATTTGAAATGATAAATTGTCATGAGAACGATCAGAATATCTTAGTAATTTAACTATTTGATCAAGAATGTTGGAATGGTGAACATATTGTACATGGCATAGTTGCAATTTTAGGAATTCTGATTTTCGTAATTTTAACTACAATTTTTAATTTGCTATTTTTTGAGGCAAGACCAAATGTAAAAGAACTATTGTCTAAATAATCTGGGAGAGCTAAAACTTTAGTCTATTTCTATTTATTAATCATATAAATTGCAATTATATCATTCAATCCTAAAGAAAAACCAACCATAATAATCTATATCATTCTTATTGGAGCTTTTATTTCATTCTATAAATTACATCTAGAATAACCACATTATCATAATATTATGTAAAAAATTGTTTCTATTTATTCTACTTTAATGTTATGGAGTGCTCTACTTCTTTGCTTTTCTAGCTATTTAGAAGATAATATATTTCATGGTACCGTTTATGCTTGGATTGTTGGTTTACCTCTTTTGGGATTTGCTGTTTTTAAAAAAAACAAATATTTTTATGATTTAATGTTAATGAATTTCTAAAAAGTAGATGACCCCGAAAAAATAATTAAGATGATTAACTACATTTAAAAACTATTGAAAGGATATTAAAATAATTAACAATATCATATTATGCTAAACGCATTAATTGATGTACATAAAAATACATGTTAAATTGAAGAATGTGTATTTAAGAACAAAAAATAAATAAATTTAAAAATAGGTTTATCAAAAGATGAAAATTTATCATAAAGAGATCATAATATCATTCTTTTGCTAGGAGAAATTTATTAAAGAACTCTTAGAAAGCACTCTACATTTGTGAGGTTAAGAATTAATTATGCATTTTATTTATTAGATTATTTNAAGACCATCATTAGAAAATGAAAACCTTTTGGAACGTTTACAAACAGAACTTAAGATCATAATATTTCGAGTCTTCTTTTAAATGCTTAAAGATGAAGATTAATCCATTCTTTTTGCTGCTTTACTACAAACTATTATGTTCTTGTAATACTTGTCATTTATATTTCATCGATAATTGTATTTAGTTTGGAAAAATCAATAAGTCTCTTATTAATTATACAAGCTTTTTGGCTATCTTATGCTGACTCCTTATTTTGAAATGTTGGACTTTTCTAGTTTCACATCAATGATGTATGCATTAATAGGAATTATACTAATTGCTGTTATGATATTATTGCTCATTGGTTACAATAACACAACTAAACTTAATGTAGCAGTATCATGGCCAGTTTTTGTATTAAAATAGTTATTAACACTGTTCTCTACTATATTGTACCTCCCTATTCTAAATCTATTATTTGAAATGATAAATTGTCATGAGAACGATCAGAATATCTTAGTAATTTAACTATTTGATCAAGAATGTTGGAATGGTGAACATATTGTACATGGCATAGTTGCAATTTTAGGAATTCTGATTTTCGTAATTTTAACTACAATTTTTAATTTGCTATTTTTTGAGGCAAGACCAAATGTAAAAGAACTATTGTCTAAATAATCTGGGAGAGCTAAAACTTTAGTCTATTTCTATTTATTAATCATATAAATTGCAATTATATCATTCAATCCTAAAGAAAAACCAACCATAATAATCTATATCATTCTTATTGGAGCTTTTATTTCATTCTATAAATTACATCTAGAATAACCACATTATCATAATATTATGTAAAAAATTGTTTCTATTTATTCTACTTTAATGTTATGGAGTGCTCTACTTCTTTGCTTTTCTAGCTATTTAGAAGATAATATATTTCATGGTACCGTTTATGCTTGGATTGTTGGTTTACCTCTTTTGGGATTTGCTGTTTTTAAAAAAAACAAATATTTTTATGATTTAATGTTAATGAATTTCTAAAAAGTAGATGACCCCGAAAAAATAATTAAGATGATTAACTACATTTAAAAACTATTGAAAGGATATTAAAATAATTAACAATATCATATTATGCTAAACGCATTAATTGATGTACATAAAAATACATGTTAAATTGAAGAATGTGTATTTAAGAACAAAAAATAAATAAATTTAAAAATAGGTTTATCAAAAGATGAAAATTTATCATAAAGAGATCATAATATCATTCTTTTGCTAGGAGAAATTTATTAAAGAACTCTTAGAAAGCACTCTACATTTGTGAGGTTAAGAATTAATTATGCATTTTATTTATTAGATTATTTGAAATAAAGATAATAAGCATTAAATGAATTAATATAAGGAGAATAATTATGTCCAAGTTTAGATAATGAGTTTATAATATTTAGATATAAAAAGGTAATAGAAGATGAAATGAATGCAGTATAGAATGAAAATATGGGAAATTTAGATGTAGCAACAGAATTAGCATTTTAAAATCATATGAGATCATTTTAAAATAAAATAGAAAGAGCAACATTAATGCATATGGACTTTTGGTCTTAATTATAAGAAGATTCACCTGATTTAGGTAAAATGAATGATATTGGTGCTAAAATTAATTTAGCTATTACTTAAGTTGAAGAATTATGGAATAAAATGTAAAAAATGACTTAAAATTTACCTAAAGCTATGAGATTATATGGAAAATTTATTATTGAAGTATTATAAGATAAAGATTATGGAGAAGAATTATTAGAAAAAGCGAAAACATTATAAATTTAAAATAATAAAATGAAAAATAAATCTCAAATTTAAATCTTTAATTGTGAAGATATTATTTTTGAGTCTCTTCCAACGTTAATTGTATCTGTTTAGAATGAAAAATTTGCTTAAATTACTAGTTTAAATTTAAGTGCTTGTAATTTATTGGGTTATCATAAAAATGAATTATTAAATAGAAGAATAAATATAATCATACCATCAATTTATGCAAAATTTCATGATTAATTTATTGAGAGTTTTTAAGAACTAAATGATTCTTCAAAGACATAAAGAGAAAAACTTATTTATTTAAGATTAAAATCAGGATACATATTGCCTTGCTATTTATAGTTAAAAATGCTTCAATCAGCTGAAGAAAACAGCTAATTAGTAGTTTAATTTAAGAATTTACGTAATTTTAAAAATTCCTGTTATATTATTTTAGATGCAGATGAATCTATTGAGAGTGTCTCATCTTCTTGTATTTGTAATATATTTATAGATCAGAAAATGATTAGCCATAAAAAGATATTTATTTAAGAGATTTTTCCTAATTTTAATAGGAATGATTATTTAAATAAAAATGGGTGTAAAATTTGGTTAAATTTATAGAATTCTTTAATTTAGAATTCCAATTATATATAATATTACATTAATGATATGGATGAAACTTAGATAGAATTTCAAATTTAGTTAAATGAAATTGAAAATGAAAAAATAGGTTAAGTTTTTGGTTATGTAATTAAATTAGAGAAGATAGTTGCTAATTAAAGTTTTTTAGTTACTCCTGATATAGTATAATAATTAGCGATTCCAAATTAAAGTTGTAATAGTTTTTAATTTAAATATTATCCGAATAAAGCATTATTTGTAGGTGAAAATTAAGATGAAATTAATTCTGCTCGTGTAGATCAGACTGTAATATGGGAATATACATCTAGGACAAGTGAAGAAACTTAAGAAGAAAAAAAGATGGTAAATGAAGAAAATAAAACAAATAAAATTAATTATGCTGAAGGTATAAGAACTCTTAAATTGTTTGAAAATAGAATATAAGATTTAGAGGATATAAAATTAGATTGTTCAGAATAAGATGAAGAATAACACTCAAGTGTATTTTAAAGAAACTAGGATAATTAAGATGAAATAGAGTTTGGATAAAAACATAATATATTTCGTAATCGAAAATCATTAAGTTCAGCAATAAATAATTAACAAATTCCAAATGTTATGGTATATTTGAGTTGGATAATTAATATTTTGATGTTGGGTGTTTTATCTCTATCTTTTACATCTTATTTTGTTGGATTGTTCTTATTTTAAAATATCCAAGATTCATTAAGTTTATTAGCTTATGCTACAACAAGAAATTTAGAATGCAATTAAATTTTAATGAATATCTAAAATTTATAAATGCTTAATCTTGGGATATGGAATTTAACCCAAATTGAAGCCATTAGTTATGAATAATAGCAAAGAACTGAACTAAATGAATCAATTTATGTATTAACATAAGCCAATAAATAAATAATGTTATCAGATATATTTATCAATGATTATATATAAGAGTTACNTTTAGATGTAGCAACAGAATTAGCATTTTAAAATCATATGAGATCATTTTAAAATAAAATAGAAAGAGCAACATTAATGCATATGGACTTTTGGTCTTAATTATAAGAAGATTCACCTGATTTAGGTAAAATGAATGATATTGGTGCTAAAATTAATTTAGCTATTACTTAAGTTGAAGAATTATGGAATAAAATGTAAAAAATGACTTAAAATTTACCTAAAGCTATGAGATTATATGGAAAATTTATTATTGAAGTATTATAAGATAAAGATTATGGAGAAGAATTATTAGAAAAAGCGAAAACATTATAAATTTAAAATAATAAAATGAAAAATAAATCTCAAATTTAAATCTTTAATTGTGAAGATATTATTTTTGAGTCTCTTCCAACGTTAATTGTATCTGTTTAGAATGAAAAATTTGCTTAAATTACTAGTTTAAATTTAAGTGCTTGTAATTTATTGGGTTATCATAAAAATGAATTATTAAATAGAAGAATAAATATAATCATACCATCAATTTATGCAAAATTTCATGATTAATTTATTGAGAGTTTTTAAGAACTAAATGATTCTTCAAAGACATAAAGAGAAAAACTTATTTATTTAAGATTAAAATCAGGATACATATTGCCTTGCTATTTATAGTTAAAAATGCTTCAATCAGCTGAAGAAAACAGCTAATTAGTAGTTTAATTTAAGAATTTACGTAATTTTAAAAATTCCTGTTATATTATTTTAGATGCAGATGAATCTATTGAGAGTGTCTCATCTTCTTGTATTTGTAATATATTTATAGATCAGAAAATGATTAGCCATAAAAAGATATTTATTTAAGAGATTTTTCCTAATTTTAATAGGAATGATTATTTAAATAAAAATGGGTGTAAAATTTGGTTAAATTTATAGAATTCTTTAATTTAGAATTCCAATTATATATAATATTACATTAATGATATGGATGAAACTTAGATAGAATTTCAAATTTAGTTAAATGAAATTGAAAATGAAAAAATAGGTTAAGTTTTTGGTTATGTAATTAAATTAGAGAAGATAGTTGCTAATTAAAGTTTTTTAGTTACTCCTGATATAGTATAATAATTAGCGATTCCAAATTAAAGTTGTAATAGTTTTTAATTTAAATATTATCCGAATAAAGCATTATTTGTAGGTGAAAATTAAGATGAAATTAATTCTGCTCGTGTAGATCAGACTGTAATATGGGAATATACATCTAGGACAAGTGAAGAAACTTAAGAAGAAAAAAAGATGGTAAATGAAGAAAATAAAACAAATAAAATTAATTATGCTGAAGGTATAAGAACTCTTAAATTGTTTGAAAATAGAATATAAGATTTAGAGGATATAAAATTAGATTGTTCAGAATAAGATGAAGAATAACACTCAAGTGTATTTTAAAGAAACTAGGATAATTAAGATGAAATAGAGTTTGGATAAAAACATAATATATTTCGTAATCGAAAATCATTAAGTTCAGCAATAAATAATTAACAAATTCCAAATGTTATGGTATATTTGAGTTGGATAATTAATATTTTGATGTTGGGTGTTTTATCTCTATCTTTTACATCTTATTTTGTTGGATTGTTCTTATTTTAAAATATCCAAGATTCATTAAGTTTATTAGCTTATGCTACAACAAGAAATTTAGAATGCAATTAAATTTTAATGAATATCTAAAATTTATAAATGCTTAATCTTGGGATATGGAATTTAACCCAAATTGAAGCCATTAGTTATGAATAATAGCAAAGAACTGAACTAAATGAATCAATTTATGTATTAACATAAGCCAATAAATAAATAATGTTATCAGATATATTTATCAATGATTATATATAAGAGTTACATTCAAAAAGTGTAGTTAATGTTAGAATTACAAAAAATAATTTTGAAATGTATGATTTAATTGAAGCAACTTAATAAATAATTAGTAAAGCTTTGATTATTAGAGATAAGGAACTTTCTAAGATTAATGAAGAGGATGAAGATACAAGTTTTATTTTATATAATTTATTTAATGATATTGTATTTTAATATCGAAATGAAACAGGGTAATATTCATATGGATTATAAGATGTTGCATAAAATAACATTGTTATATTTTTAATATTATTAATTGTTGCTGGTTGCTCATTTTTTATATTATTAATTTTAATAATATTGTTTTTGATGGAAATAAATTAAATTTAAGAATAAATACTTTAATTATTTATAGAAATACCTGAAAAAACAGTTAAATTTTTATATAATAAGAGTGAGAATTTTATATCAAATTTATAAATTGGTGAAGAGGAGGAGATATCATCAGAAATGAGTGAAGAAGAGAATGAAGAAGCAAAAGAATTAAATAGATCATTGAGATCTAAGAGAAGAAAGAAATTACTAAAAAATAGTAATTCATTTTTTCGAATTTAATCAATGATAGCAATATTGGTTGTATCAATGTTTATAAGTTATTTTATAATGAATTATTTTTTAAATGAGATGACTTATAGTAATTTAAATCAATAAATACCAGAGTTAAATATAACAGCAAGATCTGGTTCATTTTATAGATATGTTGATAATGCTGAGAGATAATTGTTTTTGAATAGAGAGGATCCAATATTATTATAAGATGCATATTTAGCAGTAGTGAGTAATATATAATAAAACTATGATTTGGATTCTATTTTACATTAGGAACATGCATAGAACTCTGATATAATGAATGCTGATTATTTTGAGACATTTTAGATGATGTTTATGTAAAATCCTTGTTAGATTTTCATATAACTTAAGTACACAGATTTGGAATATTGTGAGAATTTCGCAAGTGGTTCAATATAGTAAGGAATGGCAGTAGGAATAGCTAGATATTTTGAAAATATAAGATATTTAATGACAATGTATGATATGTTTTATGGTCATCCAGAAGTGAATTTTACAGTTGCAGCAAGAGGATGGGGAGTATTTAGAAATATTACTTAAGATTCTGATAATGTAACTAATTACATATATAATTTGAATAACTTTAAATAAGCATCAGAAGCAAGAGTAATGCAGAATATTTTTATTAAAGGTATTTGAGGAAATATGATTAATAGGGACATTTATATATTTGGTTGAACAATTTATAAAAGGGTTGAAAGATGATATAAGTTTAACTTAGACTTAATTATTAGCCATATTCATAGTGTTTGAAGTTTTAGTATTTTTAGTGTACTTCATAGGATGGTATCCAGCATCGATTAGAATGATTAGAGATTTTTGGAGAACTAAAGGATTAATTATGATGATACCTTTAAATGTCATATTAAAGATTAAATCTATTAAAGGATATGTTGGAAATCTGGTGCTAGGATCAGAATAGTGAAAATTTTATTTATTTAATTAACAATGGAACTAAAATCAAATTTTGGCACTACAAAAGGTTCTCTAGATTCCGAGAGATCCTTAATTGATAAAATGTAAACAGAACTAAAAGGAGTCTTCTTCCGAGTCATCTAACTTATGTTAAAAGATGAAGAATAGTCAATTCCTTTTACATGTATTGGGATATTGTTATAATACATGCAGATCACTTATATAATATTTAATAGATAGATTTGGAAAGTTTGGCAAAATGAAATTCTTACTAAGTAGCTTAATAAAATCTTTGGGTAAAGACTTTTCTTATATTAGATATGTACTATTAACACCATATTTTGAAATGATAAGTTTTTCAGGATTTACAGCAATGATGTATGTGTGTTTGGGACTCGTTTTATTTGCATTAATGCTCATCTTCTTATTAAGTTATAGTATCAGTAAATCCAAAAGCTCCTTTACATGGCCAATTATACTACTAAGATTTTTGATAAGCATTTTTTTACAAGCACTCTATATGCCTATCATTGATTTGCTATTATCTATGTTAGCATGTTAATCTGATCAAAATGGAGTACTTAGACATCTCCTTTTTGAAGTTGAATGTTGGTCTAATATTCACATTGTACATGCAATTGTAGCAATCTTTGGAACAATAATATTTTTTATACTCTGTACTCTATTTTCCTTATTATACTATGAGTCAAGGTATCAACCACATGAAGCTTCATCAAAATTGACAGGAAGAGCTAATGCAGTTTTTTTGACTTACGAATTGATAATGGTTATTTGTTACACATTTATGAATGGTAGGAATTATGATTATTTGATGATATTAATTATGATGATCGGTAGTTTCACTATTTTTTGGAAAATTCATGTTGAATCTCCATTTAATAATATGTACATATAAAAAGCTTGGTCAATGTTAGTAGCCATGAACATGTGGGGTGCAACTCTATTATGCTTTGCAAAATTTTTAGAAGGAGTTTTATTTTTTGGTACTGTTTATGCTTGGTTGGCAGGATTGCCATTAATGATAATTGCTATATTTAGAAGTGAAAAAATGCATTATGATCTTCTTTTATTGAATCTTAATAAAGTTTAGGATCCAGATTAAGTTCTTCAATTAACAAATCATTTATTAAAATTATTTTATAAATCTTAACAAAATCAAAATTGTTCATTGTTACTTGATGGATTCTTAGAAATACATAAAGCTACTTGTACAAGGGAAGATTGCTATTTAAAATAAAAGAAATTAACCAATTAGAGATAACAAAAACCATTATTTAAAGAAGGTACCTTAACTGAAAGAGATGTAGATCTTTTGATGGTGATGGGGTAAATTTATTTCAATTAGATTAAAAAATTTCCTAATGAAATAAGTTTACGTATAAGGTATTCTTTTTTTTTACTTGACAATATGAAATAAAGATAATAAGCATTAAATGAATTAATATAAGGAGAATAATTATGTCCAAGTTTAGATAATGAGTTTATAATATTTAGATATAAAAAGGTAATAGAAGATGAAATGAATGCAGTATAGAATGAAAATATGGGAAATTTAGATGTAGCAACAGAATTAGCATTTTAAAATCATATGAGATCATTTTAAAATAAAATAGAAAGAGCAACATTAATGCATATGGACTTTTGGTCTTAATTATAAGAAGATTCACCTGATTTAGGTAAAATGAATGATATTGGTGCTAAAATTAATTTAGCTATTACTTAAGTTGAAGAATTATGGAATAAAATGTAAAAAATGACTTAAAATTTACCTAAAGCTATGAGATTATATGGAAAATTTATTATTGAAGTATTATAAGATAAAGATTATGGAGAAGAATTATT